TTGCAGATGGAGAAACAGAATATTACTACCACAGAAGCATTCCTTATTCTAATTACCATCATTCCCTGTTCCCACCCAAAGTTAAACCCAACTTGGTCTTCTTTCACTATAGTAGTTTGCTTTAGATGTGAACATTTAAGGGGTGGGAAAGGACAGGTGAGCTTAAGAGGGTGACTAAGATAAACTGGTCAGAGATACAGGAAGATGAAAGGGATTGAAGTTTCACCTATCAAGCACACAGACCAATGGGAAAGCTAGTGATACAAAGTAACAGCAATCCTGGAAAACCCTTTTTTGCCTCAAGGGGAAATGTTACAAGAGTAAATTCCTGGAGTAGTTGGTAGTAAAGTGGTGCTAGTAACTGTATCCATGCCCAGGACAGCCAGTCAGTTAAGCAAGCACCTCATGTTTGGGGGCAACATTGAGGAGAGTGGTGGGTGATTTTCCTTGTTATGTAGGTTGGATTCTTCAGACTTTTAGCAGTTTTCTGAGCTAACCAATATAATCTGTTATCTAACACAGTAGGTCAAGACAGAAAAACCTTTATAACTGTTGTGAAAGGCTATTAGTTGCCTACTCAAAAGTCATTCCCTTGTCTTTTTTGAGAAATAACTCTGCTTTTTTAGGGAGAGGGTGGGGTGGGGGGAGGACATGACCAGCCCCAGGGTGTGTGTGTGTGTGTGTGTGTGTGTGTGTGTGCGCGCGCGCGCGCATGTGATAGTTGCTTAGTCGTGTCCAACTCTTTGCAACCCCATAGACCGCACTCCCCCTGCCCCCCTGTCCATTGGATCCTCCAGGCAAGAACACTGAAGTGGGTTGCCATTTCCTTCTCCAAAAGGAACTATAGAAATAAAGAAAGAGAATTCCGTTTGGAGGCTTCTTTGAGCTCGCAGAGTAGACATCATGAGCAAAGCACACCCTCCCGAGTTGAAGAAATTTATGGACAAGAAGTTATCATTGAAATTAAATGGTGGCAGACATGTCCAAGGAATATTGCGGGGATTTGATCCCTTTATGAATCTTGTGATAGATGAATGTGTGGAGATGGCAACTAGTGGGCAACAGAACAATATTGGAATGGTGGTAATACGAGGAAATAGTATCATCATGTTAGAAGCCTTGGAACGAGTATGAACAACATCTTTGTTCATCAGAGAAATCAACTGCTTCCGTGTGTCCCCTTCTCCACATTTTACTACCAGAAAAATTGGGTTGTGTACTTTTCTTACTGAACTTTTTTGTTAAATAAACTTTTGTAATAGCCAAAAAAAAAAAAAGAAATAAAGAAAGAAAGTGAAGTTGCTCAGTCGCCTCTGATTCTTTGCTACCCCGTAGACTGCAGCCCACCAGGCTCCCTCATCCACGGAATTTTCCAGGCAAGAGTACTTGAGTGGGTTGCTATCTCCTCCACAGCCCCAGGGTATAAATCACAATTGCTTTACGTCCATTCCATTCTACCTAATACTATCCTTTTTGCCAACATAAATTAACTCTCATCTTTACAATAATCCTGCAAGGCAAGTATTGTCTTTTCCTTTGTACTGATGTGAAAACCCAACCTCTGAGGAGCGACTAGTTTTGAACACAGATCTGACTTCACAGCTCTTTTCAGTGCACCACAGACCTACTCATCTGGGGGCAATTTTGTACATCTTAATAACTCAGGTTGCAAGTATTCTACTTTTCTATTTGATCTATCATAGTTTCCTGGCTGCTTCCTTCCCCATCACCCCGGACAATGTGGGGCTCCTGTCCTGGCTGCTTCCTTCCCCATCACCCCGGACAATGTGGGGCTCCTTAGGGCGACTCACGACCCCTCAGGAACAGTTCCTAATGACTTCCAGGAATCCTCCTCACCCTCCACAAGGGTGTCTAATGACTTCCAGCATCTTCTCCCCCCACCCCAAGAGCTGCTCCTAATGACCCCCAAATCCCTGCTCACCGAGGAACAGCTTTTTAATGACCCTAAGGACATCCGCCCCCAGGACTTGTCCTAATGACCCTCAGAGCTCCTTTCCCCTTAGGAACTGCTCCTTTCAAGAAAAGTCCCGGTTTGCCGGCAAGTGAGGGGGTTCCCAAGACCCCTAATTCGCGTTTTAAAAACCGAGACAGCACTGCGCAAACTGGGACAGGTTGGTCACCTAATCGGGAACTCTTCGACCTCAGAAGCTACCCCTAAGGGACCGGAGCGCACTTTTACTCCAGATAAGGGTTATACTCACCCCGCAAAAGACTGTACCCACCCTTTAGAAACATCCTACAACGGCCTCATTAGCGCCTTTACTCTGGCCAACGATCTCATTTCTAGGCACTCAACTAACTGTCTCAGTCCAGACTAGCTGGGGCAGCCAGAAGCCCGCCTTCGATTGGCCGGCTCCGCGACTCAGCCGAGGTGCTCAGTGGCCGCAGTCCCGGCGGTACTACTTTTCCTCCTGGCAACAGCTCGAGTCGGCTCTCATAGGTGGAACAGATTGAGACGCCTGGACTTTGGGGCGGCCTCACAGCGCTTTCATTGGCGGGTTGAATGCTTATCGCGGCCCCCGGGTTGGCTGACTTTGTGGAGCACTATGCGGCTGCGCAGAGATCGACTTTCGAGGAGGCGGAGTCTCGTCTTTCGCCGGCTGGAAAAGCAGGGTGATCGGCTAGTAGCGACAGCAGAAGTCAAGCCTTAGCCCTGTCGGGGCAGTGGGCTTTCAGTAAGAACTACAGGGTTTTTGAATCCTTTAGATTTGTTGCTTCTGTAGCCTTGACCGTGATCGCCGGTGGGGGAGGGGTGGAGAGCGGCCTTCTGCAGTGAGTGATAGGCATAGCTTTCGACTAGTGGAAGCAGGAGCATCTAAAATGAGTCCTGAGATTGGCCCTTTCCAATCTCTTTTGTCCAATGGGCGTCGGGAAGGGTGGGCGGGTCTACTGGGCCTTATTTTCTCTTCCTGCGGCCCGGTCTCACTCGCCTAGGCGGCGGGGCCGGGAGGCCCCGGGCGTATACTCGGTGAGCTTCGGGGACCTTGGGGGCGCGGGGGCTATCTTGGGAGCGATACCTGCGGGATCGGATGCAAGGGGAGGGAGCGGGAGTTTGAGATAGTTAGTAATAGCTGCCTTTACTGAGTTGGTAAGTACCAGGCCTGGTGCTTAGCGTTTCGCTTGCATCATCTGAGTTAATCACAGCAACCCTGCAGGGCAAGGAGGTTGGGACCCCATTTTACAGGAGGAGTAACTGAGACTCGGGCAATTTACACAGCCAAGGTCACACAGCTAATAAAAGGCAGAGACTAGATCTGTATTCAGAGTTGTTTTAACTCTGGGGCAGTGCTCTTTTAAACCACTAGGCTTTGTTGCTGGGTGGGGGAAGGAAGGTGTCAAGGAACAGGAGCTTTCCCGAGGGAATAGGTTGAGGGAAGGGGATCCTAGAGTAGAAGAAAGGGAATGAGCAGTTAATGTAAGAAAGAGCAAGGAAATCAGTTGTTCAACAGTTACTGAGTGTGTACTCTGTCGTGCATTGTTCTAGGTTTTGGGCGTACAAAGATAAATAAGGCCAGAGGCAAATGAAGCCTCTTGTGGGCTTTGAGAGGCTTTGGGATGGGGCCTAACACTGTGTTCACATGATTTATATGTTTTTGTAAAATTTGCAAAAGTAAGATATTTTGTATTCTTTTCTTAGAAAAGAGGTCTTCAAGATTGCATAAAACTTTATACTTGGATCTGCCCTTGTAAAGGGCTTAGATTAAGTGGAGATTATGATGTAGGCAGCACTAAGAAATGGAGCACTGGGAATGCATTGCGGGACTTTGGGTAAATTTCCTGGTATGTAAAACAGGGATTACAGTATACCTGCCGTGCAGTTTGTCCAGGTGCATAAAAACACCAGGCCAAGAACTCACTGTATTTGGTGAAATGGAAGCTGGAGAGATGCAGGTACTGGGACTTGTCTTCTCTCCTACCTTAGACAGTTCTGCTCCATGCTGTCTTCCTAGTCTTTCACTAGATTGTTGGTAGGTTGGAGGAGTTTTCTCCTTTCTGATCTCTCCAGCTCTCAAGGGGAACTCTTAGAGCCGAACTGCCATGACTTTGGGGCCGAGATTTGGGGGAATAGAGTAAAGAAAAGGACGTAAGTTTTTTGCTTCTAAACTGACTGTTTTTAGCTGGTATGCTTGGTTCTTACTCAGTTGAAACAGTCTATTGTGTTACCAGGCAGTGGGGATGCACCCACTTAGCCGAAGGCCTCATCTAAAAACAAAGTAGTATTTATTTCACCTACAGTCAGTTATGAAGTTTGCCCTGTACTGCCAGTGTATTGCCTGTTTTAATTTTGTTCTTTGAGTTCTGGGTACAGTGCAATTGAACTAGTCTCTACCTTGATTTCGTGCAACTGTGCTGAAACTGCATTTAGGTGTGGCTGTGAGAACAATTTCACTTAAAGGTTTTAAAAATCATAGCTCTGGCTACTAATATCAGGATGCTTTTTAGCCCTTTAATTTTGTAGTCTTGAAGCTAAGTAACTTTTCTTAAGAATCTAGAATCCTGTTTGAAATCTGTGCCTTAGAAGGAAGCCCATAGATAGATTTTTATTTTAAAAAATCGGGTTGTAGTATATTAAGTTTAATACTTAGAATTAATTAGCCAAGTATGAACAAGGGAGCAGCTGGAAAGATGGGCAGGGCAGCTGCTTTGTCAGATGGGACCAACAACCAAATAATTAGTTTCCCTTTTTTAGTTGAGGCAATGTCTCCATTAAATGAGGTTTGAATCCATGCAATTTTGATACATCAGAATCATTTAAGCAGAACCTTTTCTATTCATTTATCTTACTTATTTAAATAACCTGCCCCGGGCAGATTCCAGGTGTGAGGTCTTCTTGGTGCTGCAAACTTTGTTCCTCTTTCACTGTTTTCAGCACTGACATTCCCAGCATTCAGTCTTAATTACATTTTGTGTAATTTTATGCTCTTAATGTATGTCTTCAGATCCCTGCCTGACCAAAGTGACCTCAAAAAGGAGGAAAGATGGCTTCTGAATCTGAAACCTTGAATCCCAGTGCTCGAATAATGACCTTCTACCCGACTATGGAGGAGTTCCGAAACTTCAGTCGTTACATTGCTTATATTGAATCCCAAGGAGCTCATCGGGCTGGACTGGCTAAGGTGAGGGGTGGAGGCCTTTTCGACTGAGGGTGGCCATAAGATTTTTCCTAAATGGAGCCTTGAAGAAGAGTTTTATTGAAAGGCAGGTGGGGTGGTAGTTGAATATATGCTGTCCTATTTACAAGTTAATTCCTTTCGTTAACATCTGAAACATCTCTTTTTTTTTTAGGTTAGAGGAGAGCTGTTGGGAATCTTTAAAAGGGAGGGAAAGAGCCAGTGTCCCAAGGGCCAGCTGCTGCGGTGCTTCCATCTCTTGGTGGAGAGGGTGTTTTCATCAATCCAACTTCTCTCTTTCTCGGTTTCCCTCTTATTCCGCACTCTGATAGTAATTTGGCTTCCCATATGAACTTTCTGTTAGATTGAGAGAAAATCAACTCTTCAGCCTCCTCTCTCGGTGCCCAGATAATATTCTGAGGCTGAGAATGAATGAATATTCCTTACTTTAGGTCATTGTGTCTAGGCAGCTAGCTGGTGGCAGAACTGGATCAGGGCTAGCACGACAGTGTGACTTTTGCCGTGTTTGAGTGAACATGGTTAAATCCACATGATTTTCTAGTAAAATCAGCTCTTGGCCTGCACACTTCCTGGACTCTGATCAGCTTGCCACGTTTCTGATCTCTTTGTTCCTTGTGTTCCCTACAGGTTGTTCCTCCAAAGGAGTGGAAGCCACGAGCCTCCTATGATGATATTGATGACCTGGTTATTCCTGCCCCCATCCAGCAGCTGGTGACGGGGCAGTCTGGCCTCTTTACTCAGTACAACATACAGAAGAAAGCCATGACTGTGCGAGAGTTCCGCAAGATAGCCAACAGTGATAAGTGAGTGAAGCATGTTCCTTTTAGCATAGGGACCTTACATTTCGTGCACAGAGTGGTCTTCAAGACTGCTGCCATCCTACTGAAGTCCCCTTTGCCCAGCTCCTGCTTCTCTCTGTCTCCCTTGCTGTTCTTTGCACGGAAACATTTCTCTTCTGAGTACACGGTCACAGTCTAAACTCGTCTATGTTTTTACATAGAGTAGTCCCATTGCTTTTCCTTCAGAGGTAGGACTTAATTTGCAAGGTTGCAAAGGGGAAACTTGGAGTTGGTTCAGAGGCGCTTTGGCCAGATGTATCGATAACACCCACTTACCAAAAAGTGGCCGCAGTAGTGTAAGTTAATCTCTTCCTTCTGGGTCCTTCTGTCTTTAATCATGTCAAACTCCTCACCACCCATTCAGATGCTATCTTATGTTTTCTGTGACATTAACCAAAGGTGGGTAAACTAACAAGCTGTTTGCTGTTTTCTGTCACTCCATGATCATTGGTACATTCTCGTCTCTGTTGGAAGCGTCTTTATTCAGGTCCACTGTTATCCATCGTTTTTCTGTGCTGTTTTTATTAATTTCGCTCTCATTTGACCTCACATTTACAGAGAATGAATTGTGCGTTCCCCTTGTTGGACTCTGACTTATCCTCTTGCTTGAATCTTCTCCTTTCCCTTGTGTCTCTTCATTTTGAGGCTCCATAAGGGGTTCGTCCCTTCCCCACCCCCTCGCTTTTCCTCCTGAGTCCTTTTTGGTCCGCACACGGCTTGGTTTCAGCCAGTCAGATGTATTGTGCCTCCGGCTCCGGCTTGGCCATGGAGGAGCCCGGGGAGAGCCTCAGCTCGCCAGGCTTCACACTTAGAGCGCTTTGTTATCTCACATCAGGTCCCACTCCTGCTCCATCTGTGCTCTGCCTCTTTTCCTTGGACTTATCACAGTTCTGAATGTGGGCTTCCAATTTTCTTGGCAGCCGAACTCTTAAAGCATCTCCCTTGCTGGCCAACCTGCTGTCTAATTAGAGAATCTGTGTAAAGGCCTGTTGGAGCAGCGTGCCGTGCTCTGCAGATTTGAGCCTGTGTCGTCCTTCATGCCTGCTTCCTAGCCCTGCACCGGGCCAGGCACACTTGCTTTGTTCCCGGGGTCTCATTCAGTCCCCGCCTGTCCCCTTGGTCTTCCAGTCTCATCTCATCAACAGATGGTAGGCCTTGCCTTTCAGGATATCTGTTTTCAAATCAGTCTTGTGTCTTTTCTCTTCATCTGAGATACAACCAGTTCTTACTGTTGATTTCTGTCTGCATGATCAGCCAGCTTTAAGAAAACCCAGTAGGTAAAAACCTAAATTTATAAAGCAGATCAGCTGGAAGTAGAGTTATTTGTATTTAAAGGGATCTTGAGAGTTCTAAACTTCATTATTCATTAGGTTGACGTCAAAATGTAAGGCAGCATTTAAAGTAAGATTTTTTTTAACCCTCCATTTAACCTCATTATCTCCATACAATTTCAGTTTGGTCTTCCATTCCTTATCATATATATATATATATTTTTGCCAAGTTATACTATGCATTTTCAAATACTTATTAGGTTTACATGTTACTCTTTAAATTGTGTAATAGTTTTTAAGTGGTTTGAATTTTTAAAAAGTTTATTTTGGAGTAAGTTTTCAGTATGTGATTTTATTGAGCTAAAGAATATAGATTTTTTAACAGTATTATGTGAAGATATATATGGATAGATAGGGTGTGTGTGTGTGTTTGAGCATATGTATATACTTGTATTTTGCTCAATGGAACATTTGATATGCAAAAACCTGTTTTTATGTTTTTAGGACTATTTTATATTTTTATTAAACTATTTTGTTTTCAAGCATGCTTATTTGTTGGATGTTAGCCATACTGCATAGGATGGTGGGAATGCAGCAGTGACAATTCAAGTGAGCCCTCTTGGAGACACTTCCTTAGAGTGTAGGGAAGTGACTGCTGTTCCAGGGCCTCACCTCTCCATGTGTGGGCGGGTTTTGGTTGTCTGTGGATCCACAGGGATTTGCAGTTCTTGGTTCTCACAAGTTTGTAAGCCTATTTTCCCCCTGGGTGGCCAGGCCACTCCTGAGTGGAGCAGGGTGTAGTTTTAGTAGGGCCTTTTAAAAGAGTGGAGGATAGCATTCTTAAGGAAGATGGGCTTACATCTTGGTGTATGTTACCTTCCTTGGGCCTGGTACCCACAGAAGGGAGGTTGAGGGAGTTAGTGGAACCTTGAAGGCCAAGGTTATATCTTGTTCATTTGAAATGTCTTTCTATCCCTGGAACAGGGGATTGTGTCTTGTGTTATTTATAATGCCTGATGAATTTAGTCTCTTATGAGTGGCTAACCCTTTTTTTTTCCACTTTTGAAAGGTACTGTACCCCACGCTATAGTGAATTTGAAGAGCTTGAACGAAAATACTGGAAAAATCTCACGTTCAATCCCCCAATCTATGGTGCAGATGTGAATGGCACTCTCTATGAAAAGGTGAAAGTCACTGGAATCTCTTTGCAGTGTTTTTGCAGTTTTGTAATTTGATACCATTTTCATCTGCCCAGCATGCAATAGACACCTAGAAGTTGTTTATGTGTTTTTTTTTTTTTTTTTTTACTATTTTCTTTATTTGGCTGCATAAGTCTTAGTTGTGTCTCACAGGATCTTCATTCTTGGTGGTGGCACGCAGGATCTTTAGTGGCGGCATGTGGGATCTAGTTCCCTGACCAGGAATTGAACCTGGGCCCCCTGCATTGGGAGAACTGATTCTTAACCACTGGATTGCCAGAGAAGTTCCCCTAAAAGCTGTATTGCTGAATGGGTGTTTGCACAAAAGAGTGGTCTACCACCAACTGATGGGCTGTGCTCACTTAATCAGGGGTAGTTTTGCACATGACTGAATTTTATTTCTCCCACTCTACATGTGAATTGGATGATACTGTGTTCTTTTCAGGGGCCATTAGAATAGTCTGTGGGTGGTAGCTCTGATGAGTTCTAGAGAGGGTGGGATCACAGTAAATGAAATGTTGGGGAGGGCAATGTGGTTTCTGTGAAAAAAAGATCACTGACTAATATAATGAAAGGGGTATATAGTTAAGAAACATTTAGATTTTGAGAATCTTGCAACAAGATTCTGTAGAAAAAGCTGTTTTTAACAAATTGCATTGGCTTAGGATATAGTGGTTTTGGACATGGAGAACAGCCTTACATGTGGTGCAAAAAAGAGCTGTTTGGGACCGTTTTAGGATGATTTGAAAAATCTGTAGAGTGTTACAGGGATTATCACTCAGATTATTGTTTTTGTAAATTAGTGGAAGGAATGCGTTTAAAAAGTGGATTCCAATTTTGCTGTTGATGACCGCTTTTTTTGGGTGGTGGGAAGTGAAGCTTGTAGGCATAAATCCAGAGCGTCTTTACAGGAGGTGGGCTTCTTGATGACCTTTGTAACTCAGGGTTGCACTGTAGACTTTTTACTGAAGAGACTGCCCAGTGGAAATAAGGGCTAGGCAAGTCACAAATTAGTATAGTTAATTACCATGCTTTGTATTTGTTGTGATTTGCGAGGTCTTTCCTCTGAGCTAAGTTTATTGGCTTCTGTTCAAACTCTTCGTCTTGGGTTTAGAACAGGTGGCTGTCACCTCCCTTTTTTCCTCTTTCACTTACTAGTGTTCACTGTTGTTTTGCTCTTTGTGGGGGTATAGTGGCATCAATTCCCGTGGCAGCTCTGAACAGCGAGTGAGCGGTGCTGTGGTCTGTATGTCCACACAGTTTCAGCAGCCTGCCAAATCTTTATTAAAAGTGACAGCTCACCTGTGACCTGCTCTGCGACTGGTGGGTTCAGAGCCTCAGTTTATATTCAATCTGACATTCTCTGCAGCATGTAGATGAGTGGAACATTGGCCGGCTGAGAACCATCCTGGACCTGGTGGAAAAGGAGAGTGGGATCACCATCGAGGGTGTGAATACCCCGTACCTGTACTTCGGCATGTGGAAGACATCCTTCGCCTGGCACACAGAAGACATGGACCTGTACAGCATCAATTACCTGCACTTCGGGGAGCCCAAGTCCTGGTAAAGTCGGCCTGCGGTTGGCACCGGGGCTGGTGCACACGGACCACCTTGGGATCGAGATAAAATGCAGACACTGGTCTGGCAGGCTCGGGGCGGGACTGGTGTGGTACGTTTTCTTCCGGCTTTGAAGCAGCAAGGTGCTGTTAGAGCGCTGGGGCTCTCCCTGCCCTTGAAGCAGCAGGTTTTAGAGGGCAGGGCAGCTAGTCCCATCATGTGGAAACGGACGGTGGTTGAGTCACCGAGAGTTGCGGGGGCTCTCCCAAGCTCTCCCACTGCTCTCTGATTTCTTTTTCTGAACAGGCCTGAGGCATTTCTTAGAGGCAGACTCCAAGACTGGAGTCGCTCCTTCAGACTATAGAAAGCTTTCTTTCCCTCATGGAAAAAATATTTGGTGAGCAGCAGTGTGTGCCTCACCCACGAGGGGGCACGTGGTCACTCGGCATCCGCTCCCTGCTGTTCACTGCAGCCGCAGTGTGGCTGGGGAGGCAGATTCGCCCTCTCGTCTGCCTGCTCCCACCCATCCATCTCAGCGTGTCAGCGAAGGTGCTGCCTTCAACATCATAAGACCGATGCGCTCACCCTCGCACAGATAAGAGACTGATCAGGAGAGAGAAAGTGGGAGAAAAGCTGTGATGGGGAACAGTGGGTGCAGTAGGTCCACACAGGAAGGCATATGAACGCTGGGCTAGAGAAGGCTCCCCTGGAAGAGGTGATGGCCAAGCTGAGGCCTCGCACATGAGGATGTGGCTGGGTGGGGTGGTGGTGGGTTAGGAGGGGGGACAGGGAATCGTGTCTGGGTGTTTTTAGCAACACGTGCAAAGACTTGGGAGTGTGTTGAGTAGCTAGAGGAAGGAAGTCCTTTGTGCTTTGGGTGCTGATTATGAGGATGGAGGCGCGAGGAAGCTGGAGGGGACACTGACCAGGTCTTGGGGAGTCACGGAAGCTGTGTCTGTCTCCATTCCTTTTCCAGCCTCTTCAGCCACATCCTGTCCCAGGGGTTTTCTTTTGTTCATCAGATGCCTTTCTAGTTTCCAGTCTTGGGGTGGGGAACCCTTTTGAGCCAGTGCTTACCCCCCGACTACTGACCCAGTTCCTTAGAGGCTAGACTTCTATCTTGAGTCAGTAAGTTTTGTGTCTTCCCCATGTTTACCCTGAAGTTCCTGAAACTAGACTTTGATACGACATAGACTCTTTAGGTCACCTGAAGGAGCTCCTCCAGAGATGTGTATTCAGGGTTGCCTGATGGGTCCCAGAGCCCTTTAGGTGATAGACAGTTTCCTCATCTGTTTTGTTTCATAACGAAACTATTTGGGATGGGAAGGTTTTGTTGTTGTGGAATCGTCTTTAGAACACATTATAAAGGTAAAATAGACTTACTGTGAGTTCCTGAATATGAAGTTTTAACAGTTTTGCAAAAGTTTTAAATAGTCTTCTATGTGTTCTTTAGTTTTTCCTTTTGTTTCTTAATGAAGGGCAATCCTATGGTGTCTGGATACCCACAGTGTTGGAGGCGTGAGTGGCTACTGGATAATCAGTGCACTGTTGAGGAGACGAAGGGAAATGGGCTCTTCAGCAGATGGGGGCCAGGTCTCTGGTACCTAATCCATCGTCACCTTGTTGCCCATTTTTCTCTCTCTATCCCATCCCAGTTAAGCCTTTCAGGCTCTGCCAGGAGCACTTTAATGCCATCCTCCTCCTCTCTCTCTCTCTTTATTTTTTTGTTTTAAGTTTTATTGCATGAATAACATTATAAAGGAGAGCAATGTTGAGTGTGTGCCATAAATCCTGGTTCATGGTAACTATCGAATAAACTTCTTGTTAATGAATTTAAAAGATAAAAATCGCTTGCCCTTCAGTGTGGGTTCCCCACTCCAGTGCCCAGACAGTCTAATACTTCATTTCTCCAGATCCCTTTCTAGTTCTTGTGGTCAGGAAGTTGAAAAGTCTGATATTTCGAGCTGTTCTGAGAGTGGGCACGAGCCCTTGGGCCCCTTCCCGGGCCAGCCCTCGGCTCAGTGGCCACTGCTTCTATGTGCTTGCAGGTACTCCGTCCCGCCCGAGCACGGAAAACGGCTGGAGCGCCTGGCCAAAGGTACGGTGTTCACTCCGTGGGCTGGGTCAGACCTGCCAGGGAGCTGCGCTTATGGCTCTCAGATGTCCACTTTCAGTGGTCCTTTCTTAGGCCCACATGTAGGGGGAGAGCCAGACTGCCAGTTTGGGTATGTCTTAGAGTAGCTGAAATCAAAGCCTTTCCCCACTTGGTCCTGGGAAGGGGCTTAGTAAGGGTTAGACTGTCTTTGCCTCAGTTTCATCATGCATGGGTTTGTTTGACCAAGGGATAGTGTACTGGTCACCTTGGGTCTGGTTCTTTTGCCAGAACCCCAATTGGTCAAGTCAAAGTTGAATTTCATGCTTTGGTTCTTGTAAGTGGACTCTAGTAGATTTGTATCTCTAGAGAGACTGTTTCACAAGCACTTGTCATGTGTACTGTAGATGTATTACTAACAAATGATTGAGGGTCCTGGTGAATGGAGAAAGGCTTAAAGTAGTTTTAAAATTCTTTATGGGAACAGAGGCTGCCAGGGCAGTCCCCCAAGCAGGATTTGATGACCCATGTAACAGCTTAAACCGGGGACAGCCCAGAGGCTCATCATAAAACGCTAGGCCTGGCCTGGAGCTAGAACAATCTGTGGCGATCACCTTGGTGATTCATCCTCCTTATATTTAGATGAGATGCACTGTGTGAAGTGACTCCAGGGTTACAGAGCCAGTGTGGAACCGTGTATTAACTGTACCCGTTTTCAATTAAACAGGCTTTTTCCCAGGCAGTGCTCAAAGCTGTGAGGCTTTTCTCCGCCATAAGATGACCTTGATTTCTCCTTTAATGCTGAAGAAATATGGAATTCCCTTTGACAAGGTGAGCGGATTGCGCACACAGCAGTCCTTGGCTTACATGGAAACCACTCTTTCTGGCGTGTATTTCACAGGGAGCTTTATTCTACTTGCTCCTCTGTACCAGGTGTGGGCCAGGACTAATCTGTGTCACCTTTTGAACTCAGTGCATTAAAGGTGGGCGCTGCCTTCCTGCTGCCAGAGGAGGGTCAAGCCCCCTTGAACAGCGTTAATCCAGAGGAGTCATTAATTACAGTCATGGTGTCTGATGTGCGGGGACTTTGCATGTCACGGAAGACACTAAGACCCCAGTGGCTTTGTGACCTGTCCCTGGTCACTCAGAGGTGGCTGAGCTGGAGCCCAGCATTTCTGCCCTTTACTTCAACTGCTTCTTGTTTGCTCTTGTTCAGGTGACTCAGGAAGCTGGAGAATTTATGATCACTTTCCCTTACGGCTACCATGCTGGCTTTAACCATGGCTTCAACTGTGCCGAGTCCACCAACTTTGCCACCCGGCGTTGGATCGAGTATGGCAAACAAGCTGTGCTGGTAAGTCCACTGTTTTCCTTCATAATAACTGTGTCTAAAGACAACTGATTGAGACAGCCAGCCTTCTTAGATACACTGGCTGGTGTTTCTTTGAGCTGCTGGAATTGAGAAACAGAGTGGCAAGCAATGTGCAAAAGTGCCAGCATCTTGTGTTCACGAAGGATGTTTAAAAACTGGTTCAGATTTGAGTTGTATAAAACGAGGTTTCCGTGCTTGAGTTAGTTGGGCATTAACACTGCACCCACACACACAGGGCTGTTTCCTGCTCTAGCCGCTCTGGGTGTTTGCTGTCGAGGAGAAATCTGATGGGCTTCCCTTTTACTTTAAGGAAGCAGCCAAGGCTGGACATTTGGCCAGCAGCAGACTTGCTGCCGAGATCCTGGCCTGAATAGATGGCAGAGGGAAGGTGGACGTTGAGCATCCAGGGTCTGATGCTGAGCCTTGTCTCTTAACTGTTCTCCACGCACCCTGGCTAGCATCCCAGTTGACTCACCCCAGTGCCACGCGTCCTTTTTCGCCTTGCTTCCTTTCATGTGTGAAGGCTCTGCATGGACATGATGCCCTCAGCCTGTGAACCCAAACAGTTCAGCCTGAAACTGTTCTCTTCTTTCCATTTGGAGGGAGGAAGTGGGAGAAGGGGGGTGGGGGGAGCAGGGGAAGGGTCTCACCTGGAACCCCTCTGGTGCCTCGCGACAGTGCTCCTGCAGGAAGGACATGGTGAAGATCTCCATGGACGTGTTTGTGAGGAAGTTCCAGCCAGAAAAGTACAAGCTCTGGAAAGCTGGGAAGGACAGCACCGTCATCGACCACACTCTGCCCACGCCAGAAGCAGCCGAGTTTCTTAAGGAGAGTGAACTGGCCCTGAGAGCCCGGAAGGAGGAGGAGTGCCCAGAGGAGGAGGACACGGAGGGGGTGGAGGATGGAGAGGAGGGCGACCTGAAGAGGAGGTAACCCCGCGGCCCTTGGGCCCAGCTGCCTGGGTGGGCTGGGGGGTGAGGGGAATGTCTGGTAGGTCCCGTCACCTGTCCAAGGGCTGCTTCCGAGCGGGGTGTTTGAGCACCACTGAGGGAAGGTTCTTCTTGGTGCAGGCTCCAGAATCCTCAAGTATTCAGACCCTTCCTCACAGCTGCACGTGGAGGTGATGGCACCTCTCCTCGGGCGTAGTCACCCGGAGGGAGGCGCATGTTTCTGTGGGGGTGTGGCTCCCTCAGAGCCAGAGAAGCCCGCCTTTTTGCCCTCGCTTGAGGGCTTTTTATAAAGGAGAGAGTGGTGCAGGGAATGAGGCTGATGAGGGCAAGGGGCAGCGTCGTCAGTGTCTCAGCCAGAGGACCTGTCCTCAGCGGTTTCCCCCCCGGGGCTGCGTGGGGAAGAGAGGAACGTTCATGGGGGTACCTGCTGTATGCAGGTGTTCTGCGCATGCTCAGCACAGCTTTTCCCGAGTCTCACGTCAGCTCTGTGAGGTGGGGCGGCGACGTCCCTAGTTGCACTTGACGGAACAGGCTCAGGGCTGTGAGGTCCCCGGTCTCGGGCGGCTCCAGAGTGTGAAGCAGGCTCTGGCGGCTCCTGTCAGGTTGCGTGGGGATGTGTTTGTGTAAGCGGACATACACACCAGCTCTTAAAAAGTGTGCCCTCCTCCTTGCAGCCTGGCCAAGCACCGGATCGGGACAAAGAGGCACCGCATTTGTCTTGAAATCCCGCAGGAGGTGAGTCAGAGCGAGCTCTTCCCCAAGGAGGAGCTGGTCTCCGGACAGTACGACATGGTGGAGTGCCAGGCCGCCCTCGCTCCCGTGAGGCCCACCCACAGCTCCGTGCGCCAGGTTGAGGACAGCCTCAGCTTCCCAGGTGAGCTGGTCATGGTGCTTTCTCCCCACAGCCTTAACCGTTGCGTTCTGTGTTGGACGCCATGTCACTGCAGGGTCGCAGGCATGACACGAGGGAGGCGGGCCTGTGAGCAGATGGTGACTGGAGTGTGGGAAGCGCTTTGGGTGGGGACACCCAGGGTCACGGAGGAACGTGGGGGAAGGCCCACAGCTGTTCAGGGAGCTGGCAGTGGTATCCTGTGATCTGAGCAGGGGGCGGGAAGGGTAGGAGACAGGTGTGTCACGGGAGCTGCCGCCTGAGACGTGGGATGAGACAGCGTGCGGGCTGCCTTCCTGCCGTCTGAGAGCTTGCTCACTGGGGGCCCGAGGGGCCGTTGGTATTTCAGGCAGGGATGGTGTGGTCCAGCACCGTGTTTGAAAGCCTTCCCGTGGACGGTTATCAAGGGTAGATTTATTTGGAAGGCGCTTGTGTCAGCCTCTGGTCAGGCCCGGCTTGGGGGACCGCTGTGTGGACAGGATTCCTCCGGGGTGTGCTGAGAGCCGTCGGCCCTGTGGGCCCAGCTTCTTCCGTGGAGCAGACTTCCTGGCCTGGCTCGCTGGGTCTCTGCTGAGCTGAGGAGACTTCTGGGGAAAGGACAATTGCCGGGTGCTGTGTGCGGGCTGTGCTCCCACCTCCTATGTCGCAGTCTTATTTAAGAACCCTGGCAGGAGGTGGTAGCATCCTCACATCACAGAGGAGGAAACCGGAGGCCCAGAGAGGCTAAGCAGCTCGCCCCAGATCTCATAGGGACCCCGTTAGGGTGGAGCCAGAGAGTTGGAAACCAGGCCTTCCTCGCCGCCCACGTCCTTTGGTCTGTGTCCCTCTCTCGGGGTTGAGCCGCGCAGGAGGGAGTGGGCTCCGTCCAACGTGACTTGTGTGTTTCAGATTATTCTGACTCCACTGAAGTCAAATTTGAAGAGCTTAAAAATGTCAAGCTGGAAGAGGAGGATGAGGACGAGGAAGAGGAGCACGAAGCAGCCGCCTTGGACCTTTCTGTGAACCCAGCTTCTTTCGGGGGACGCCTCGTCTTCTCAGGCTCCAAAAAGAAATCGTCTTCCAGCCTGGGCTCCGGTTCTTCACAGGATTCTGTCTCTTCTGATTCCGAAACCAGTGAGCCTCTGTCCTGCCAAGCCCAGGGGCAGACAGGTGTCCTCACAGTGCACAGCTATGCCAAGGGGGACGGCAGGGTCACCTCGGGAGAGCCGTGCGCCAGGAAGAAAGGGGGCACCACCCGGAGCATCAGTGAGAGGGAACTGGCCGAGGTACGGGTGCTGGCGTGGGCCGCTGGGGGTGGGCTCCTGCAGGGTCCCCGACGGCAGGAGGAGGCCCTCAGGATGGACCTCCAGCCTGCAGTTGTGTCACGCAAAGGCCAGGTGGCATTGGGTCACTTTAGCTTGTTCTTTGCTGGGAGGGTTTTATTTTCCCCCCTGTTATCTCTATGTGACTGTTGCTCCAAAGAATGGCTTTGTGGCTTCCCTGGCCACCCGTAGTGGATCTTCAGTTGAGTGGGGCACATGCTCTGACCCTCCTGGCCTTAGGGGTGCAGGGTTAGAGCAGCAGTGTTTGCAGTCTGGTGTTCGAGGGTTGGAATGACGTGGCCTCTCTTACCCTGGGCTGCCCTGGGAGTTTTCCGGCCCCTCCCCGTGTTCATCCTTCCCCTCCCGGTACGACACTGCTGACAGCATCCCTTTGGAGACCGGGATGAATCCCAGAGCCATCAACAGGGACGTGTTTGCTCAGGCTTCCTCCCAGAACACGCTGTTGCCAGAAGCTATGTTTTCTGTTTGTTCTGGGTAGAAAGGCACTTGGTGGGTCTGCGTGGGGTGTAGCAGGGCCACGTTGGGTACAGCCTGACCCAGGCCTGCCCAGTGACCTCTCTCCCCAGCCTCACAGCCTGTGGTGAAGTTGCAGCTGGGCTGAGTGAGCACAGAGAAGCTCTCCTCGATTCCCTGTTCTCTTTACCTTTGGAAAATTTGTCTTTTAGGAGTTTTTGTTTGCTTTTTTAAAAACCTTTTTATTTTGTTTTGGAGTATAGCCGTATAACAGTCTCGTGATAGTTTTAGTTGGACAGCAGAGCGACTCAGCCATACATACATGTGTATCCGTTCTCCTCCGAAGTTTTTATTCCGAAGCATCATTAAAGTATGCACAAACAGAATACTGTCAGGAGCCCCCTATGTGCACGCATTACCCCGGTGCGTGCACATTATCTCTGTGTATTAACATTTGATGTGCTGGCTTTATCTTTTCTCTGCCTGAAGTACTAACGCCTTGTCCATATTCAAATTCTCTTAATTTTTTGGCAGTGCCTTTCTGTGGTTGGTTTGCCCCCTTGTCTTTAACACCCGTATGATTTTTCTTTCTGTTCTTTCTGCATCTTAGGCTCAGATTCTGTAGATGCTGTTTCTCCATGTGAAGTCCCCCTTCCCTCACGTGTGGTGCGGTCTGGTGAGCCAGTGACCCCCGTGTTTCCTTCCCCGCTTCCCCATCGCCTCTGACCCCCTTTCCGTTCCCTCCTGTGGTCACTTCCACAGGCGAGGGCTCTTCCACTTGGAAAGCAGAGCCCCGTGTACTCCTCGTGGCAGCATCCCAGTCGTCCTTCACAAAGTTCTGTGTACTCTTGAGCATCTTGCTGTTTCTGCAGGCCACACTGTCCTTGTGCACTATCCTCCTGACGTGCAACCGCAGAAGCTGCTAACAATAGCAGGGACGTACTAGATAGTAAATACATTACAGTATTGAGACTATATGTTAATATATATATATAATTATTAATTGTATATTATTAATCTGAATATGAGCCAGGTTTTTTCTAGGGTTGGTTGGTTTTTTTTCTAGATCATAGCGGGGCAGTAAATAAATAACAGCCTTTTTTTTCCCCCCTCCCAAATTAGGAACCCATAAAGTTGTGGATACAGGACGTGGGCATATGGAGCTCAGAATGTCACTTTGTCACCAGTTAAAATGGTTGAGGAGAGTGTTTCTGACCCGTGGCCAAGTAGCCCTGATGCTTGTTTACCCTCAGCTAGACAGATGACCCGTCTGGTCACAGGCAGCCTTGGATCGCTCAGGCCCCCTCACAGAGGCAGAGTGTCTCCCACTCTGTCCTTCCGCGTGTTGTACACACAGGCAGCAGTGCGTTCCCTCTGTAAGAGGCAGATCCCAGCGAAGCCAAAGCTAGGACTCCTCCCGTGGAAACATTCTGGGAGAGGAGGCTTCTCTCTTCACACGCCTCTCTGTGTGACCCCTGCTCCAAAACCACTGCGTGTCTTTGTGGTTCCTTTTTGCTTGTGTGTGGGCCTCTCAGCTGCAGCCTGAATGCCTTTTCTCCGCTAGTCACCTGCCACCTCTCCTGCCTCCCCCCTTGATGTGCTAGCGTCTTTGGACTACTCCAGAGTCACTGATGCACCTTGGCTGCTTGGCCTCTTCTTTGCTTTACTCTGTAGTGGTTTGTGTGCCTGCTCTGGGCTAGGACGGTGCCTTCAAAGGAGCGCGTCATCGAGGCTAGCAGACAGATTCTAGCAGGGAGTTCTAGTCCCTGGTGATCTGCATTGCAGCACACGTGGTGGAAGTGTTAGCAGCTCCGCCTGGGGTTGGGGTAAGGGGTCAGAGGGACGGCAGGAGACGAAGGTTAGCCAGAGCGTGAATCTGGCAGAGGAGAGGGTTCTCTTTGGAGCTGGGGCTCATGCCAGCGTCAGAGCAGATTGGGGTCCACGGAGGTTTTGTTGATCTCGGGCATATAGGATGAGAGGGCCTTGGGAGTTGTGAGTGGAGGGTGTCAGGAGGTGTCCTAGACCTCTGCCTGTTCTCTGACACTCTGACTTCAGAGACAGGGCGAGGGGGCAGTGGAAGTTTACCTGACGTGTGTATTTGGAGAGTGAAGATTTCTGTAACATGTCTTTTTTTTTTTTGATGCACAAAGATACATATGGAGTAATACAGCAAACCATAAATACTCGTCACCATCACTGGGATCTAACAGTTAATATTTTGCCACATATGCTTCATCTGTCCCTTTAATTTCCTGAAGTATTTTATAGCAAATCATGACATGGATGTCATGTAATTTCCTTCCTGCTTCAGTGTGTATCTCTGAAAAATATGGGTGTGTTTTAATCACCATGCTGTTATTATACCTAACAAAATTACACAAGTTTTCTAGCATCATCTAAAACTCAGTTCACAATCAGTTTCCCCAGTAGTCTAAAGAGAATGTATTTGACAGTAGGTTTGTTTGAATCGAGATTTAATTATTTCTTACACCTGACATTTGTTTATTATGTCTCTTAATTCTGCCTTGATCTAGGGCTGTGCCCTTCTGACCCCCTATCGCTGACTCAAGAAACTCTGTCAGTTATTCTTTGGACTGTCCGGTGAAGTATTTTTTTTAGCTTTGCATTGATGTTTCGGGAGATCATTTTCGAAGCAATATTAAGGTTTTTTCGGGAAGAAGGAGGCAAAATTAGAAACAGCAGACATTCTCTTGAAGGTAGAATTATGGATGATTTTCACTTCATGCATTTATAAATTGTTTGAATACTTTTTATGAATACCATGTTATTTTTAAATACCTGAGGACAGGAGGGAAAAAAAGGTTTGCAGTAGGGAAGTCAGTTTGAAACCTGCTTCTTAATCTGAGAGGTGGTGAGGATCTGAGCTGTGTGGTAGGGGTTGGGGTCTGGGGTCACTACTTGGAAGGTAGGAGTGGGAGGGCGCCATGGGGTGACCTGGAATGCTGGCTTGTGTTACAGGATGGACAGGGGTATGTTGGTAGCGGGTGAAAGTCACAGGAAAAGTGAAGGGGAATTTGAGTGTGGCTCGGGACATGAGTTCAGTCTGGGGCATGCTAAGTGCCACCTGCTCGTGAGGCAGGCTGTGGAGATGTGTATACACACATCCGCGATGGGTAGCTTTGGGAATCCGCTCCACCTGGAGGGTGTCGGCGGGTGTGGACAGCTCCCCGGTGGGGCGTGTGGAGCAGTTTTCACAGTGTGGGTAGAGGTGGCAGGCCTGGGAAGGAGAAAGACAATGAGAAGGGAGAGCCAGAGGTTTGGAGAACTAGAAGAGGGTCATTGTGCAGCGCCAGGGAGGAGAGCAGGGAAGACAGTGGCAGCAGGCGGAGTGGGCCTGTGTTGAAGAGGGGGTGATGGGAGATAATGGGGGGGCTCTGAGAGGAGCGAATGCTGTGGTTTCTAGCAGAGGCAGGAGACAAGGGGATGGCTGCAAGAGGGTTTTTTATTGTGGTGATATATGCATGACATAAAATGCCATTCTACTGTTTCTTAGCGCCTCACACCACTGTCCCACCGGCACCCGGCTTTGGAGGGGGAAAGAGGCCATCGTCCGTCCTGTAACAGTCCCCTGCTTATGGGCGCACAGCCCTTTTCACAAGCCACCAGTCCTGGGAGCCTTCCGTTGCTTCCCAGCTGCTTCCCTGCCTCCTTTAGTCCCTCTAGCACCTTGCTCCTTGTCGGTGACGCTGTCTTGGTCTCAGTGCGGTTGTCCCAGGCTGGTGAAGGTGCACCTTGAGGAACCAGGCCCTGGGCCGCCTTAAGCCTCGCTTCTTGAGGCATCGATGTGGTCCCCAGGGCTTAGCCCAGGAGCCTCTGTAAACAGGGGCGGAATGAAGGGAAGTATAGCTCCAGTTAGAAACTGACATGAGGGCTGATTTCCCTGGGCAGAATGGCGGACTGACAGTCAAGGCTTGGGCAGAAGCTGAGACACTCTGCCCATCCCTGGAGCGGTCTAAGAGCATCATGTCTATATTTGGAAACAGCTGGGTTTTGAAGAACACCCTGGTGGGCTCCCTCCCCACGCTTTAAGTATCCCTCAAGGTGTTATCTGGACCACTTGCCGTTCAGTTTATGTGCTGCCGTCTTGTGTCAGGAGCCTTGGTGAAAGGGCCCCGGTGACTGACTGCTGAAGCCCCACCACCTGAGTCTTTGCACAGTGATGAGCCTGCTGCAGAAGTTCTTGTCAGTTCAGGCTGCTTTGAAAAAGTGAGTTCCCTGAAGAAGGAGCGAGAACACTTGGTTCTTCTCTGCACAGAACCAGCCCCATCAGGAACATTGACCTTGACCTGGCTGCTCATGTGAAGGGGGTAACAGAACTCAGGGAGCCTGGAGCTCTAGTTCTCTTCCTGGCTTGCTCTCCCACCCTGTCCTCACCAAGAGCTCCGGGCACAGTGCTCTTCACCTGCTCTTATTACTGGGTTGCCACCGACCCTGGCTCACGTGGTTAATTGGTTGAAACGGGGTTTGAGTCCAGTTCTTTCTGTTAAATCCTGCAGGCATTTAGAAATTGGAGTGCATAGGAGGGAAAGGCAGGACCAGGAGGAGTATTTAGCCAGAAGAGATGAAAATGTGGAAGGATGTTCAATATGGATAGTTCCGACTGCTTTGGTCAGAGGCAGAGTGATGGTAGCAGGAAGGGCAGTTTTAGACTCTGGCTGGGTCATAAGCCCCTTGAGGTTAGAGGTCACATCTCACCATCTCTGCATCGTCCAGCAATAGGCATGGTCCTCTGGGCGCATCTCCTGGGTGTGCAGGAGGCACTTTGGTTAAAGAGGGGTGGACAGAGGCAGCCTCCTTTCCCCAAGCCACATTCTGGTGTTCTTGGTCCAGACCCCTTTGCCTCCTCCAGGAGTGAATGAGAGATGTTTTGCTTGCCTGTGAAATAATTAATCTCCACCTCCTACCCCCATGTGCATTTTCTGTTGCTGCTTTACCAAGGGACACAAATTTAGCATCTTAACTCGAATTCACCTTCTTCTGGTTCTTCAGTTCAGAAGTCTGAAATGGGCCTCAAGGTGCTAAAGACAAGATGTCAGCAGGGCTCTGTACCTTCCTGGGGGGCGTCCATTTCCTTGCCTTTTCCAGCTTCCACAGGGTATTGCTTGGCCATGACCCTTTCTTTCCACCTTTGAAGGCAGCAACATCTGGCCAAGTCACATCACTTTGACCGTGACCTCTGCTACCTTCTTCCATTGTTAAGCAGCATTTGAATACATTGGGCCAACCCAGACAATCCAGGATGATGGTCATCTGATTAGCAAGCTAACAGTTCTTTGTCCTGTTAATCTACCGTATTCACAGGGATTCAGACTGTGCATCTTTGGGGGACAAGCTTTTTCACTAGTAAAACCACACTCAAAGCTCCTTTCTTAAAATACAATTGAAGGAAATTTCCTTTGCAGCTGTCATCTCATTCCTTCTCTTAATCTCAAAAATTGTGTGATGACATTCGCTCCCTAGTTCCTTATTGTGTATCTACTGGTGTTTATCTCTAAAACAGTCCCGGCACCTCCCGGTTGCTGAGCCCCTTGGCCACTGCTCTTCTGTAGTCTGGACTGTGGATTTCCTCCTGGAGGAAACCCCCCTCTCCCCAGCATCTCCTTTCTTCCTCTTCTTTATCCTGCTCTGGAAGGCACGGTCTCCAGTCAGTATATCTTCCACTGATCATCTCATTCACTTCACCGTTTAAATTCTGAGCCTGATGTCCAGGATTCCCAAGTCCATAGCTCTTGCTCTGACTTCCTTTCTGAACTCCCAGGCTGAATTTCTTATTGCCCCCTGGGTATTTCCAAACAAAGGACCCACAGACGGGGGTTGTGTGTGCCATACGCAGCAGTTTAACTTGGCTTGTTACCACTCCCTGCCTCGTCCACAGGAACCCTCTTAGTCTCTCACCTTGGACACCCAGGAGACCTAGGCCAGAAATTCCTACCACCTCTGCCCCCTTCTTCTCACACCTGTACTTCCTGGCCTTTGCCACAACTCACTTTTGGGGCTGTTGTCTAAGGAGTCTTCGTAGTAAGAAGATTATGGAGGAGCAGGAATCAAATAATGGAACTTTATTTTTAATCTTAATCCTTTCACAGTCTGTTTTAAGGTGTGTATAAGTACATTAGTGTATATAACTCATCAGTAAGTATACACACATTGGAGTGCATATCCCTATATTTTTTATTTTCATGATTACACTATCAAATAAATTTGGTGGATATTTCCAGTTTGTTGGGCCGAAGAATCCGCTCCTTACGTGACCTCTTACTTATGTAAAAAATGTAAATCAGAAGCAGGGCTCTTGTGGTCAGAGTGGAGGTAGACCTGGAGCCTTAAGCTGTTCACTCTAATGGCGGCTTTCATGGCACCTTCTTGATGTACATTTTGGAAGGCACTGCTTTAGACTGCTGGTGTAGTTCTGGTCTGATGAAGTCTGTGATAGTCTTCGTTTAATTTCTCCACATCATCGCATGCCGCTATGAGCATCACTGCTTGTGTTGAGCTAGGGAACACCCTAGGGGTCATGTTTTTTCCACACCTACCTTCCCCCAGCAGGCCTTTGGACTCAGTAGGTCTTGGTAAATATTTGTTAAATGAGTGGGCAAATAGACACTCAATTTATGTTTGAAAGAGTGGGCTCTGTGCTGTGAGCTGCTCAGCATTTGGTTTTTCTTGACATTTTTCTTGACTCCTACGTCCTGGGGCTCTGTGTAGTGGCACGTGGAGTCTGCAGGTCCAGTGTCCCTTCTCCGAGGGGGCACTGCGATGCTACCCCTTTCTCTGCAGCACTCTAAAGCGCTGGTTTCTGTCACAGTTGCAGAGTGGCCCTTTTCCAGGCCTCAGTTCCTCGTTCAGTAGATTTTGCCGTAACCCATGTCTTCTAAAGTCAGTACAACCAAGTTTTAAACATGTCGATTAGAAGGAAACTCTGATGTGGTATTACTGATTCAGTCCTTACACCTTAAACCTACTCACATTTGCTCTGACATTATGTAAATGCAACATTAAATTAGCCTTTCTCTCTGCAGTCAGGCCACAGTTTCAGAGGCATTCTCTGTCCTGGATGGTGTTCTCTGGAGAAGAGGAACACATAGTGTTAGCTAGAGCTGAGGTCTTGAAGGTGCAGGGGAAGTGGCCTGTTTTCTTTTTAATGGGTCAGCTATTCCTCTCTCCTTTGCATGTGCTCGGGCCTTTCAAACCTAGATGGCCCAGGTGCCCAGCACTTTATAACAGCTGCTGCTGGCTTTCTGGTCCAAGGAAAGGAACTTGGCTGGGCTCTCAGACACAGCCTCTTGTCAGTGAGCTTAAGGGAGGGGAGCAGCTCTTAAGAGCTGGAGCAGGTTTGTTTAGGTACATTTGCTTCAGCCTGTTTCTGAGACCCACACTTACTAAAGCAAAAATTACACAATCCTGGTTTAGGCTGATTTGCATGACACTTGTCACTGTAGCTTTTTTTTAAGACAGGTGTTTTCCATGTTTGGTTTTATATTTATTTCTTTGAGAGTCTCTGCCCTGCTCTTTCCCTTGGTTTTCACTGTAAGACTGACTTGTGCTGTGTCCCCAAGTGGCGGAAAGGCCAACCTGATTTCTTCTTTGGTTTGCCCAGGTTGCAGATGAATATATGTTTTCCCTGGAAGAGAGTAAGAAGTCCAAGGGCCGCCGTCAGCCCTTAAGCAAGCTCCCCCGCCACCACCCGCTCGTGTTGCAGGACTGCGTCAGCGATGATGGTAAGTGGTGGTTTCGCTCATCTCCAGAAGAAAGGCTCTCCACATCAGGACCTCCTCCAAGACCTCGGGAGGCCACACGGAAGGCCGGGGTGGGCCTGTGGCTTAGCTGTTCCCCCCAGGTATTCTGTGCAGAGGGCTGGATTTCAGGATATCAGACTTATTCTCAGATTTCATTATAGGTTCGAGTGTCTTGGGATTTGCCTACTGAAGGATCGTAGCGGCAAGTTCTTCCCTTGCTTCTCTTAGGAGGTGTGGCTGATTGTTCGGGGGAGCAGGTTCTGTCACTGGTGCCAAGGGCCCTGTGCTGGATGTGTGGCGACAAAGATTAAGTTGAGATACGTCCATGCCCTCAGGAAGCCCATGGGGTAGTTGACTGCGGAGGTGGTGGTCCAGGTGGAAGGGACAGTGTGAGTAACCGTGGAGACAGGCAGGGAGGTATATTCAGAGGAGCCAGCCCACTGTGGCTGGGCTTCCAGAGCCAGGCCAGGGCGTGGAGGAGGAGGAATGAGGTGGTTGTGAGCCAGAGTGAGGAATTTGCCTTGGGCGTTCGGAGCCCTGGAAGTGTTTCCCCAGAGGAGGGGCTTGGTCTGATTTGCATTAGAAAGATTCCTAATTGTGTCTTAGACGGAGCAGAGGGCTTTTGTCACAGCCTCCGTGAGGTCCCGGGGTCTGAACTAGGAGGGTGGAGGTGGGGTGGGGGAGGGGACACAGTGACCCCTGGGGAGGATGGAGGATAGAGCGGTGCTGGCGGCATGGCGATGGCGAAGCCTGAGCTGGGTGCCTCCCTAGGTTTCCGTGCTGGTTGGGTTTGGAAACCTGTGTTCAGTGTCTGCGGAAGATGTAGACCTGGGGGGTAGAGGGGGTGTTCACATCTTTATTAAAGGGGACCACTCAGGGAGGGGGCGCAGAGGCTGGGGTTGAGAGGACCGAGGAAGAAGAGGCTGTGAAGGAGACAGGGGAGTAGGCGGGGACGCATGTGGAGGAGACTGGCAGCTCAGAGCGTGATAGCCATCATACAGCGTGGCCTCCTGTGCCGCCTGGAGCTGGCAGACCCTCCGAGGTCTGCAGTGACTAGGCCCCTTGTGACTGTTGCCTGGTGCCCCATCCTTCCGTGTCCTGTCCTTGCCCACGCCCAGGGCTGGGTGGGAAGGCCCAGAGGCTCCTCAGTCAGCCCATCCCCCTGCTCCACAAGCCTCACGTTCCCTCTCTGATGTGATGTTGACGCCCACCTCTGCTGTTCTCCTTTGATAGAAGGTCACGATGAGCTGGGTGGGAAAGCCTCTTGAGACCCCGATTCAGAGCCTCAGAAGTCCTCTATGGTCTTCCTCCAGCCGTGATGGCGGCTTCAGAACCTCGAGGTCGGCAGCAGCCTCGCTTCTGATTTTTCCCCAGTGTGCTAAAGCAATGCAGACTGTAGAAAACTGGGGAAACTGGAAAAGCTGTAAAGAGGACAAGATAACCCCACAAAGAGGACCACTCTGGTCACTTCAATGTGTCACTGTTCCTGACTGTCCTAGTCAGATGTTAGATTATGTCCACGTATGTCTTTTTCTGATAATGCGAATTAGATCATAATATACACCTCTCTAAGTTTTTATGTTTAAAAAACTTCAAGTGTGGAAAAGTTGAAAGAGTAAGAATACAGTGTGTTGCCATAATTGCGTTGTCTCTTCCTATACATTGTTTGGGCTCCCCAGGTGGCGCTAGTGGTAAAGAACCTGCCTGCCAATGCAGGAGATGTAAGAGATGTGGGTTTGATCCCTGGGTCAGGAAGATCCCCTGGAGGAGGGCATGGTAGCCCACTCCAGTATTCTTGCCTGGAGAGAATTCCTTGGACAGAGGAGCCTGGTAGGCTATAGTCCATAGACTCGTAGAGTTGGACACAACTGAAGCGACTTCCCGCGCACACATGCATTGTTTACATATGAGCATACATATCTGCTGTGTCATTTGGAGGTAAGACGTAATTATCAAATCTTTTCATTTAAAGTGAACCAACAGGCATCTTCTGTGTAGGATTGTCTCCTATGTAAACACTTGACCTCTGAAAGTAAGGAGTAACTTCATAATATCCTGATTCTTGGTCCATATTCATCTTTCCCTGCTCATCCTAAAAATGTGTTTTTTTCCTCTAATCCAGTATGAACCAAACTAGGGTCATGCATTGCATTTAGAAGTTTCTTCAGGCTCTTAGACTCACACACCCTTCTCTCTACTAAAAACTTTTTTTTTCTTTTAAATTGAAGCATTTAGTGAAGCACGTAGTGGCTAAACTGTGCGGCTCAATGAGGTTTTATCCATGTAAGCGGTGAAATTTTGGTTCCTGTGGTTTTCACTAAACTATTGAACTTTTTCATCATTCATTCAGTATTCACAAGTAGAGTGCTTCTTGGCCACTTTTGGTTGTGTAAGCATCGCAAGTGTGCGTGTAGTCATTTTTCTGTGATTGTGAGTGGTCTGTTTCTGTTTCTCTGCTCCTGTCTCGATCACTCTTGTTGTGACTAGGATATGGAAAATACGTGTGCTTGGATTTTGGCACCATGTCTCCTGTTTAGGCCTGATTGATGGGGCTTGTAAGGTTAGATTTTAGCTGTAATCCATTATGGTCCCCTTCACTGAGATCACATGCATGGCAGCTGCCAGATCCCTTTGGATTAAACATGATTGAAGGTGGAGGAGATAACTGTTTGTTTGCACTGAGCTTGAGTTGTAAGGAATAAACAGATAAATGGGTAGCTTACCTCCGTACATTCTCCAGAGCTTTCCTTGGGCTGCTCAGCGTAGGTCTCCAGGGTCTCTTGAAAGGCATTCCTGTCTGGGAAGAAGTGAGGAGGTCATTGGAGGAGTTGTAGCCACGGATTGCAGGGCTCCCCACAACATGATCCAAATACTGGAGGAGTCCTTTGAAAATCACTCCTTCCCTTTGCCTTTGTCACCCATAGGTTCTCGGGTTAGTCCCGACCCGGAACCGGAACGTCCCGGCTTGAGCTGAGCTCTTTGGCTCTCCAGGCAGAGCCACAGAGCAAGGCTGGTGCTGCCTGCCTGACTCACTCCTCTGCTTGCTCCTCTAGAGCTATCAGAACAGCTGACCCCCGAGGAGGAGGCTGAGGAGACAGAGGCCTGGGCCAAGCCCCTGAGCCAGCTCTGGCAGAACCGACCTCCAAATTTTGAGGCTGAGAAAGAGTTCAACGAGGCCATGGCCCAGCAGGCCCCTCACTGCGCCGTCTGCATGATCTTTCAGACTTACCATCAGGTAAGCCCTCGTATCCCCTCTGTTTGCCGAGTGCCAGCACTCAGGAGAGCTAGCTTTAATAGTGGGTGCATAGTTTGGGAAGGGTGTGTTTTTGCCCCATCCGCCTGCTGGATGGAAAGGCTTCACGAGGCAGGTAAGCATGTGGGTTTCACTTGAGAATGCTTTGGGGAAGAGCAGAGGGTGTGACTTGGGTTCTGGGGGATTCCCAGCTCCCTTTGGCACTCACACTGTTTGCTGAGGAACCTGCTCTTTCTAGTAAGTGATGTTTCCTTTTAGATGGTTGGTTGTCCTGGCCAGTCTGGAGAACTGGGGATTCTTTAAATCAGTCTGAATGTCAGCTGAAAAGTCAGATCCTGCAGTGTTGTCTCTTTTCCTCCTTGCCCATCGCCACTGTGGATGTTGGCAGCAGTGGAAAGGCACTTGGGGAGGGGCAGGAGCAGGGGCTCTGCAGGAGGAAGAGGGATGGGAAAGCACCCTGGATGAGCCCAGCTGTGCCTCTCCCACTTGTGGGGCATTTGATGCCTCCACTGTCATGGGTCTCTTTGAGTCTAGCTCTTGGAGGCCAAGAGGGCACCCACAGCAGCCTGTGCCAGAGGACCAGCTCGGTGTCAGCTGGGACCTACACAGGGCAGCACGTAGGGAGCCAGTCTGCTGTGCTAGTTAGAGTGGCGTGGCTGTCCCTGAGCCTGGCAGGGGCCCCAAGTTCATGTTTGCCAAAGAAGGAAACTTCAGACCAATGTACTTTGAGTTAGTAATTCATTCTTTCTTTCCAGTAACCAAAAAGTGAACCCAAAAGTTCACTACATGTCCTTGACTGGGCGGGAAGCTGGCAGATGGCCTGGCTGTTTTATCTGTCGAGCGGGGCTCAGCGTTCCATGAATGGCACAGGCTTGGAGTTGACATGTTTCTGGGCCCCGTCCTTGGAACAGGGGGTGAATGTGCCATCCAGCAGCAGAGCCTGCAGATCCTCGCAGTCAGGCTCTTTGCCAAGGGAAGGACATGGACACAGTGTTCTTCCCGAAGGGGCCCCAAGCCAGGAAGAGCATGTGGGGCTCCAGCCATGTGACAGAGCTGCAGCTCAGGTGACTGCTGACATGGCCTCGAGAAGAATCCGCGCTGGGGCCTCTCCCTGGGTGGGGCGCCGTGCTGGGCAACAGAGGGAGGCCCCCAGGAACAACCTCGCCAGCTCCCGGTGCATTTTATTACCGTCTGGTTGGGAAAGATTGAAGTCCCAGTTGCCTCTTACCTTTCTTCCTCTTCTCGTTGTCCCCGGGGGGCCTGTTTGATGCTTCCTTGAGAAATTGAATTTGAGTCATTAGAGGTAACTTCAATTAGCAGCTCTGGGATAATGGCTGTGCACCTGGGAGCCGTAGCCGGCCCGTCAGGAAGAGAGCCGCTTTCTGCTGACAGCAGTGGGGAGTGCAGGACACAGGCCAGGTCCCTGAGGTGTGCTCTCGCCCCCTCCTTAGGTGGAGTTTGGAGGTTTTAGTCAGAGCTGCGGCAGCGCTCCAGATTTGGCCCCCCAGACGCAGAGGACCAAGCCATTGATTCCAGAAATGTGCTTCACCTCGACTGGCTGCAGCACGGACATCAACCTGTCCACCCCTTACCTGGAGGAGGACGGCACCAGCCTTCTGGTGTCCTGCAAGAAGTGCAGTGTCCGGGTCCACGCCAGTGAGTTCCTCACCTCTTCTCTGCATCCAGTCCCAGGGCAAGGGCATCTGACCAAATCCTCCTCCCTCTCAGTCTCCCCACAGCCTCCCAGGGCCCTCCCCAGCCACCCCCACCCCCAGTGCAAAAATTGCTTATGTGTTGTTGGAGTGGTCAGATCAGGTCTGTGACTTGGGTCTCTGCTCGTACTGGCTGCCCTGGGCTGTCCCCCTGGTTGCAGATACATGGAGGGGACTAGTCCCTGCTGCTCACTGGGTATTGGTACCAGTGAATCTATAGTTTCTGATGTTTTGAGACTTTGGTTCATACTGTATGACTGATTTTTGGGGGCGTGGTGCTAGAATTCAGTGGTCTCTAAGATTTGGTTGTCTCTTTGGGAAAGGGTATTTGGAGAAGAGCTGCAGGTCTGCCTTTGGACTCTGGGTTTAACTTGCTCACCTCGGTGTCCCTGTTAGGTTGCTACGGGGTACCCCCTGCAAAGGCTTCTGAAGACTGGATGTGTTCTCGGTGTTCAGCCAATGCCCTGGAAGAGGTGAGTGCATCCATGCTGTCGCTGGCTCCCCGTGAGACGAGCTTGCTCAGGGCCACTCTGTTTCACGTGGACTCTGCCCCAGTGGTCTGAGCAGGACCTGGTACACTGTGATGTGAGAGTGTTGTCGGAATAAATCCCCCCCACCGTGACAGCGTTTGCTGCCCACCTGCAGCGGGGCCCGATGGCCTCCGGAAGCTATTCGCTCCATTGTGTCAGGACCAAGCAGAGGTCTTCTGGTGAACAGACCACTGTCCCCTGTAAAGAATTGAGCCATCAGGTCAGAGCATCAGAACAGGGCTCAGATGGTTTATTTTGTGGCTTTCTCTTTATTCTTCACTCCCCTGTGGAACCTGGCAATAACCGCATAGGAGGCAGCCAGAGCCCTGTAACGCCTGCAGCTTGAGCAGGGTATCATTCACGACTTTCCTTTCAGTTGTTACTATTAACAGTGAAGACAATTAGGTTAAGTCAGGCGAATAATTAGTGCACTTTAGCCCCGAGTGGCTTCCCTGTCCTCCTGCAGGGGAGTCCTGGTTCTGGGGGCTATGCAGGCGAGGCCTCCCAGGCTTTCTCTTGTGGAGGCTGCAGTTGCCCGAAGGAAGTCACAAGGAGAACAGATTGGCTGTTAATAATTCGGTGGTGACCACTCCTCCTCCCCCCTTCGTGGCAGGACTGCTGTTTGTGCTCGTTACGAGGAGGAGCCCTGCAGAGAGCCAACGACGACAGGTGAGTTTTCTGAGCTCTGAAGCGGCGTGCAGGCGTGCCGCCAGGGTGGGGGCTGTCATCCGCATGACTGATGATGACTTGGGAAGCACACTGTTGGGGGCTGAAATAGCGTCTCCAAGACTAATTTTAAAGATGGGAGGCCAGACAGCCCAGAGCTTCCCATCGGAGGCAGCTTTGTAAGTTACATCCTTCTGGAGAAGCTAAGAAGGACTCACGAGGGTATAAAGACCCTGTGAAGATGATGCAGGGGCTTCATGGTGGACATGAGGACTTGACAGGTTAGATCTGGGGCTGGTGCAGAGGTGGCCGTGGCTGTGGGCTGTGAGCCCTTCCCAAAGCAGACTCCCTGGCTGTTTGGAATGAGGGCGCATGTCCTTCAGGAGGGCGGTGGGACATTGAGGAAACCCAGCTACGCCTACCCACTAGTCAGCCAAACCCACAGAGGGTTCTGTTCCTCAGTCCGGAGCTGGGCTTCTCCGCTGCCAGCAGGTCACTTTCACTGAGCTGAATTTTTTAAGTCTTTATTGAATTTGTTTCAGTGTTGCTTCTGTCTTTTTGTTTTGGTTCTTTTGATTGCCGGTCATGTGGGATCTTAGTGGGGTCTTAGCTCCCCGTCCAGGGATCAGACCCACACCCCTTGCATTGGAAGGTGAAGTGTTAACCACAGGACCACTGGGGAAGTTCCTTGAGCTGAGTTTTTGTGCTTGGTCTCGGCTTAGTGGTTTTGGGATAGAAATGTCAGGTGAATGAGGTTTTTGCCCCTGAGGCCTGGCTGCCTAGGGGAGAGTACTCACAGGTCGATGGGGAACCAGCAGGGAGGATCTTGCTTCCAGCTGAAATCCTGTGGGAACTTGGCGCACACACCGCTAAGCCTCTTGCCTCACAGACATCCCCTTCATGCTGCTCTGCTTGCTGCTTCCATTGTTCTAAAGGCACTTGCTGCCCTGACTGGAGGTCACTGTGTTCCTCACAGTTGCCAGAGAGTGCTGTTTAAGTCCTCCTTTTCTTGGAGTGGAAATGGCTCTGCTTGCACCTCCCGCCTTCACCATATAATCCTTGGTCTGCCCTGTGGAGCTGTGCAGAAACAGACCTGTCCCCACTCACACACTTCAGGTGGCCCCACGTGGCCCCTGTGCTGTCTGTCGTACATAGGTTTTCACCTGGCCTGATCCTGAGAGCACTCACCATCTCAGTGGAGCCCATCTAGGTGCATGTTAGTTTCTCCAGATGCCCCCAACTTTAATTCTCTAAGGATGTCCATTGAACACACCTCAGAGTAAATGGGTCTGGACCAGAAACGAAAAAGTGATTCTGAGGTGGACGAAGGGAGCAGAAGGGACAGGTCATTTTGACCCTGGAAAGGTTTGGGCAAAGGCGTGAAGGGGTGGGCTGGGCTTACTGGCAGATTGGGGCCCATTTGGAGATATTTTGAGGAAGTGCCCAGGTCCTCCAATTAAAGAGATCTGTAGGGAGTTCTCTAATTTATTCTTACTTCCTAAACCATGCCGTACCCCCAGTTAGCTGTGGCTTTGTTTATTTAGCAACAGGCTGTGAGTGAGTGGTGTAAGCAGTGTGATGCTGTGCTGACCTGGGACAGTGTGGTGGAGACCTTTGCCCACTCAGTGTGGGAGATACTTCTGGTTTTAACTCTCTGGGTCTCAGGACCTTGCTGGGAAGTTCAGGGGTCACGCTGGGGGAGGGAGGAAGCACCACAGGAGGCCCACATCAGAAGAGGCCAGGCTCTTCAAAAGCAGCAATTGAGTTTTTGGTCTCTGTATCTTTTTGTCCAGAATTTGCCCCAGCTGTGCATGTGCACATTTATTTTTAGTCCTCTACAGTTTCTTTGTACTTTGTTGCTTGAGGAGAAATTTGTCCAGGTGCAAGCACTGCAGCATTGTGGCAGAGGGTCATAGATCCCGTCTCATTTCCCTTGCCCTTCACCCCCACCTCCCCACCTCTGTATTCTTATTCTAAGAGGCCGAAGGTCTCTTCTTCTGAAGCTTCTTATGCTGGACAGGGGCCACAGACCATTGCCTACACCTCGCTGACTGTTCCAAGGTCCTATAGGGACCTGGGCCACTCTCTCCCAGAATGGGTTGAACTCTTTGAGCCATCTTGAAGCCTTACTTCGAACTGTTGGAACCTAGAAGACCCAAACTTAACCAAAAGGTTAAACAAACAGGGTTAAAAAGGAGCACCACGATAGCCATTTAGCCAGTTGAAGAACCTGGAGCAAAAAGGGTGTTGGGAACAAAAGCGGGTACTGAACATGCACCCTGCACTCAACACCACCAGAAGAGTTGGCAAACCGTCTAAGCTACCCCTCTGGCCCGACCCCTAGGCACACGTTACTCTCATCCTATATAAGTTGCAAGCTTACCTCCCCACCCTGCAGGGAGCAAGCAAGCAAGGGAACTTGTTCTTGGTTCTTGCTCCCCCTTGCTGTAGCAGGGCCCCAGTAAGCCTTGCCTGGGGGAAAAAAAACAAAAAACAAACATGAGAAAGCCATAGGGCCTGGGGGGACTGAAGTGGCCTTTGCCTTTTGGCAGATGGGTCCATGTCTCTTGTGCGGTGGCGATTCTGGAAGCAAGATTTGTCAACATTGCAGAAAGAAGCCCAGTGGATGTGAGCAAAATTCCCCTGCCCCGCTTCAAACTGGTAAGGAGAGAGAGATGGGCATGTGACTGTGCATCCTTTCCCTGTTTCCAAGGCTCTGGGTAGAGGGGAACACAGCACTTAATGAGGACACCCCCTGGCTGGTCTTGTGCCCCTTGGTTTTGGTCGTGTCTTACAGTTCTCGCCCTCTGGTTAAAACTACTTTTTGAGGATGTCTGTGATCGGATACGAGATTAACAGAGGGCGTATGTACCGTCATGTTTTGGGAAGCAGGTGGGCTCTTGTGTATGGCTCTGTGCATTTGGGGGAGCAGTAGAGGAGACCGTCTCAGTTCCTGTAATCACTGGCTTACTTCCCCTGTGTTGTAGAAATGTGTCTTCTGTAAGAAACGGAGGAAAAGAACTGCTGGCTGCTGTGTGCAGTGTTCTCACGGCCGTTGCCCAACTGCCTTCCACGTGAGCTGCGCTCAGGCTGCAGGTGTGATGATGCAGCCAGATGACTGGCCTTTCGTTGTCTTCATCACCTGCTTCCGGCACAAGATCCCTAATTTGGAGGTGAGGGGGCTGCGGTTCTGGAATCCGCTTGACCGTTTTTCCTGAGTCATTTTCTCTGGAGGCTTTTCATTTGTTGTGTCAGCAAGTTATTTCCTCAAGCACTGTGCTTGGAGATGCTAATGAGTGTGGGATTAGGAGGTGGCCCCTGTCCATCTCTGCTTCCTGCCTTGTATTTCCTAATCCTGTGGTATCAACTGCCTTGTGGTTGATGCCTTGTTAGCCTCTCCTCCTGGGTAAACTCCTTGAGGGTCAGTGTCTTGTTAATCTGGGTGTCAGGGACATCGCAGAAGCTCTGTAAATGTTGTGAAATTACGGGAAGAATAGTACACCATGAGCCCTGCGTGGCACTGATTTTCTCTAAACGGTGAAGCTTAGTGTAAGCTACATGAAAAGGTTTGGATTGAAGATGGCATTGATGTGGGTCTTAAAGGGGAATTGTGCGCAGGATGTGGTCAAGTCTTCAGAAACAGAATGAGCCAGCCTCAGGAGGAGGAACGTGTAAGACTGGTTCTGGGAACCTGGCGGGGGATAGTACTGGAAAGGCAGGCAGTGCCAGAGGAGGAAGGCCCTGGGCTGCCACACGGTTAGGAGTCTGACCTTTCTTCCATTAGGAGAGGGGAACTTGTCCAGTATTATGACTTTGAGCTATATTTTTTAAAACAGTTCTGGTTTGAAGAAAGGGAATTCGAGGCCAGGAGACCAGTTAGCCTACGTGAGAAGTTGAGGTCTGAAGTGGGAACACAGAGGCAGAGTTTTAGGATCACAGCCAGCGCTGGATCCCACAGTGGGTGGAACTGATGGGGTCTGTTGACTGTCATGGGGAGAGGAAGGGGGAGGTGAGCGGGTGTGGATTCAAGATGACTTGGGCTACTTCCTGGAAGGTGGAAGGGATGCTCATCCGGTGTTAACTGCATTCAGGAGCTGAGATGGGCCTGGGCTGGTGTGTAGGGGAAAGCGGGGGAGGTAGAAAATGAGGGAAGGACCTATAGACTTTGATATTGCTGGAACATTCTGGCTGAGGTACCAGGAGGCAGTTGGATCCACTGGATGAAAATTTGGATATTATCAGCATTTAACAGGGTAGTTACAGCTAATTCCTATTAGAAACTGGTCTCTGGAGATTGCTAATAGAAGGAGCAGATGGTACAGCAGGAGGCAGTGAAAGCAGCTGAGAAGCAGAGAGAGATGTGGAGAGAAGCAGAGCAGCAGGGGGCTCAGGAGAGCCTCGGGCTGTGTGCACCCGACCTGGGGGCTCCAGGGGCAGTCAGGTCAGGAGCCTTCCATGAGCTGCAGTCCAGTGGAGGGGATGCCCATGAAGACTTGTCAGCAGTGTGGTAAAGAACAGTCATAAAAGGAAGGACACAATAGAGCTCCCTCTTAACCATTTGGCTCTTGGAAAAGGCCTTGGCTGACTGGCTCTTTCTTCCTCTCCTTTAGTTACTTATTTGGCTGCCTAGGGTCTTGGTTGCGGGACATGATTTTCATTGTTCGTTGCAGCCCAGACTCGGTAGTTATGGCTCGCAGGCTTAGTTGCTCCATGGTATGTGAGATCTTAGTTTCCCTGACCAGGGATCGAACCCGCATCCCCTGCACTGCAAGGTGATTCTTAACCACTGGACCACCAGGAAGTCCCTGGATCCTTCGTTTTCATAAAGATATTCTATTGAACACAAGAGGTGGTTGGGGGGTGGGTTGGGAGCTTAGGAAGAGGGGAAAATAAATAGTCAATAAGAGAATGAGGAATAGAAGCCTGAGGTACATTTTGGTAAGGGGGTAGGAGTTTTGTGTTGGAACAGGATAGTGGTGTGGTGGTGATCATTATTCTCCTGCCCGTCCACAAACCCTCACATTGGCAGCTGTAGATGGCTGATGCTGTAAGGAAAGGTGGGTACTATTGAGTCTTTTACTAATTCATTCTTCACCCACGTACTGGGCATGTTTGGCACAGTTATTTGTGTTTTGTTTTAACTTTCATTTATTTATTTTGGTCGGGCAGCTTGTGGGATCTTAGTTCCCTGACCAGGGATTGAACCCAGGGAGCCCTCACCACTGGACAGCGGGGAATTCCCCAGGCACAGTTATAGGTGCTGGGAACACACTAGTGAATGAGATAACAGTATCTGCCCTCCTGCTGCATTTCCTGTGGTTGAAAGATGTGTGGAAACAAGTAAACATTCAGTGTTAACAGATGCGGCATAAGATTAAAGCTGGATACAGGAACGGAAGAGGGGGTAGTAAGGAGTGTTGTCCCTGAGTTGACTCTTGGATGTGAGGGAGCCGGTGTGCAGAGAACTGGGGAAGAACCTTTCAGGTAGGGGAACAGAGACGCGCAGACCTTGAGGTGGGAACACGCTTGACACGAGTGCTTGGAGGACAGCAGGGAGGCCAACGTGGCTGGAGCATAGAGCTTGGGCCGCTTCGGGCGGGGCGGTTGGACTCAAGGCTGCCAGATACTCTGTGATCTCATTTGCATCAGGGGCAGGTTCAGAATGAGAAGAAGGGTGATGTGAGGGCCCCAGACGTGACAGAGTCCTTGTAATGGGGAGCTGTGTGTCATACACAGCTGAGGACATCAGGGAACCTCAGTCTTTGTGCCCTGACCCTGAGGGTAGAGCTGGTGGTAAGATTTGTGTGGGGGCCCCGGGCCTGCTGCGCGTCCACTGTGATGTGTGTCTGAACTATGTGAATTAATAGGTGCTGTTTGGTCGGTTCCTCACAATAGGGAAGTCACAAGAGTCTGTTTGGGGGGTTTGGGGTGAGACAGGATGGTTGGTTAGTATAAGGACGTTGTTGTGTGTTGTGAATGAGGGAGGAGCTACATTATGGGGGAAACGTGACACTAGGTTTTCCCATGTCCTGGCTGGGGTGTGGATATCTGGAAAGACTTGTACCGTTGTACCTTTCCATTCTCATGCTTCTCTTGCCCTGGTGAAGAGGAGCCAGCTTATCTTGATCCCCTTTTGCTAGGCCTGTCAGCTCAACATGGGCGTAACCCAAGCCTCTGTTTTCTCCAGCGTGCCAAGGGGGCCTTGCAGAGCATCACTGCAGGCCAGAAGGTCATTAGCAAGCACAAGAACGGGCGCTTCTACCAGTGTGAGGTGGTAAGGCTCACCACTGAGACCTTCTACGAAGTCAACTTTGATGACGGCTCCTTCAGCGACAATCTCTATCCTGAGGACATAGTGGTAATGTCTGCGTGGAGCTTCTTGGGCATTTTGGGATGGGGGTACTTCTAGGTCTGACTGACTGTGGGCCCACCTGCCCTTTCTAGCCAGGCCCATGGTTCCATCATTTGGCCCCCAAACAGAAAGAAGTGTTTGTACTGGTCTTTCTATACAAAGAAAATTGTATGCCACTAGGGTACCCTGGTTTCCCTAGAAGCTTGTAGGAAGCAGTGTTTTCTGCAGTAATTTGAAACATGCCTGTATTTTAGTCCAAACTACCCTTAACTCATTAGAAAAGACCTGATGCTGGAAAAGATTGAAGGCAAAAGGAGAAGGGGGTGGCAGAGGATGAGATGGTTGGATAGCATCACCAACTCAATGGACGTGAATTTGAGCAAACTCTGGGAGATAGTGGAGGTCAGAGGAGCCTGGTGGGCCACAGTCCATGGTGTCGCAAAGAGTCAGACACAGCTTAGTGACTGAAAAACAACAGCGACAACCTGCAAAGGTGTTCTGATGCATTGGATGAAGAGCCCAAGCTTTGGAATCAGATCAGTGTGCCAATACCTGCTCAGCAGCTGTGTGATTTCGGGAGAATTATCCAGTTATCTCTTTTCTACCATGCCCTCTTGGTAGATGTGTGGAGTGTGCTTTACTGGTTCTTTACCGTTGAAGGCTTTGGAGGCTGAATAGAAGCTGCCTGGAGATAAGCCTGGCCTGATTGTGTTACCAACACCTGAGACACTGGAGGCCCTGCCTGGACTTAGTCATAGGTTTTCTGGCTCAGGACTCAGCACTCAGTTCAGGTTTCCTCTGTTGTTCGTCTCTCTGTCTCCATTCCCCCACCCAACCCCCAGCCTTTTCATGTCAGACCGAGCACTAACATAGTGGGATGAAATCACTTCTTCTTTTAACATGTCCACACACATTAGCAACTTAGCTGCTAAAAGTCCATTCATTAGTTGTAAGGAAGATTTCTATGTATTAACAGTAAATATGGTATCAGGTGTGTTTGTGGCAGTAGACTAGCTATGCTTTGTGATGCTCTTCCAGTTTGGCAGGCACTGGGCTAGGTTCTTGACTCGGGTCTCTGTCAGACTTGGGTAATACCAACTCTGAGAAGCAGGACGTATCTGTAACTTAGAGAACTCTCAGGACTCTTTTAGACATTACTGAGGACCCTAAAGAGCTTTATGTCGATTATGTCTATTAACCCTCGCCTGCCTGTGATATCAACAAGGCTCGTGATTTTCTATTTGCTCGTTATTAGTAGAAATTAAAACTGAGATTGATTTGAAATAGTCCATTGTTTTTAACAACTTAAAGTAAAACAAAAAGTATTAGAGGAGTGCCACTTTTCTATAATTTTGTAAACTTCTTTAATGTCACAACTTCAGTTTGTTGGAATATATTGTTTTGGTTAAAGTGTATGAAGAAAACCTGGTCTCACATAGAGAAGCAGTTGGAAAAGTGAGTATTTAAATAGCCTTCCAGATGATTGTGTTCATTCTACTTTGATACTACACCAAACCTCAGTGGATAGTAGTTCAACAGTTAGCTGCAATGTGGACTCTGAAGGCAGCTTGGTGAACATACTCTCTTAAGTTCTGTTGGTCTGTCTTACACTGAGAATGTATCTTTCACCCATGCGTGATTTTGAACCCTCATTCATGTTGGTGTAATGGGCTATGCAGATCTTTCAGGTATTGTTAAATTTTATCATACAGTACCAAAAAACCACTTTCATTTGTAGCACGAATCTCAGAAAAGTCTTTAAATTTTAGGGAGTGTCAAGCTCATGGTGGTGATACAACTTTTCTGAAATTATAACGTGTGCTTGAAAACTTTTTATTACTGGCAGTACTGTCAGTCCGTTTTCCTTGAAATGAAAGGCTCACTTCATTCATTTTCAAGATGTCTGCCAGTACCCAAGTCTGAATAACCTGTTTGTCTTTTTTTTCTCAAATAAAACTGGTGTTTCATGAAGAGAGCAGTTATTTTACTTACAACTCAGTTGCCCTGTGCTTTTTCTCAGGACAGCCATCATGCTTCATTGTGCAACAGAAAATGTCTTCTGAGTACTTAAAGATTATGGTCTAACAAAATAATTTTTTCTGCTTTATCAAAGGAACATTGTTATGTGGTTACAGGTTTTTCTTTTTTTTTTTGTTTACAGGTTTTTCTCTTTTGTTCCTAAATCATGAGTACACAGTGGCTAAGAATGTAGTAACAAGTAGTAGACCTCAGGGTTGTTGCCTCAGTCTGTGCTGTGGTGCCAGCAATTGCACACTTTCTAGGTGTTACACCATCACTGCAAATGTCAGCACAGTGAAAGAGACTAATGTTTTAATATTATTGTGAAAATTATCATGCCCTTGCTTGCTCCTTGCCGGTGGCTCAGGAATCTCCCTAAAGTGTGCAGACCATACTTTGAGAACTGCTATTATCGGGGGAAAAACTGAATATCTGAGAACTTAAGTGATTTATCAAAGATCAGATATTTGACTAGTTAAAACTTCCACCTCAGATTCTTTTGTGGGGGCAGTGCTTTCTATTTAACTGTTGAATTCATAACACAATAGAGTTATTGAGTAACTGGTCAATAATGAGTTGGCAATACAGTATAAAGTCATTTCTATTCAATAAATGAATTGGCATGTAGAACCTTCCTCTTGTCATGGGTGGAAATTGGAAAGAGCAGTTGGAATTTTAGATATTTGGCATTTTAGACTCTGTCCCATTCCTGCTCCAAGGTGTATTTTTTGGGCCACATCCCCAAGCACCTTCTCCCATTTCAACCCATCAGACCTTTGATTCAGCTGTCATGAGCATGCTCACACACTGACCAAATTACATAACAGGCTCTCTACTGGGAATGCAGCGAGGGTTCCACCCAGCGTTAGGGTGCCCCCTTCTGCAGGGAGTCAAAGTGCTCAAGTTTTTTGCCAAGTCCCATGGTAGGTGGTCTTTTATTACTTTCCTGTTAAGAACCCCTCTCTTAAAATAGTTGAGTACAATTTGAGTATTTCTTCTTGGCAGAACCCTGTCCCCTGTCCCTTAGACAGTTGAAGGAACATGAGAAAGGTTCGTGATGATGGTAGTTGTCTTCTACATTTATTAAGCTTATTATAGCTGCTTTTTTTGTCACCTGGAACAGCAGCAGCCAGCAGAGATAGCAGGTAGATGAGGACTTAAACAGGTCTCTCAAATGGACCTCCGTTTCACCCTTCTTCCTTACTGTTCCCTCAGAGTCAGGACTGTCTCCAGCTGGGTCCTCCTGCTGAAGGGGAAGTAGTCCAGGTGAGATGGACAGATGGCCAAGTCTATGGAGCCAAGTTTGTGGCCTCCCACCCCATCCAGATGTACCAGGTAACCAAAGGCTTTGCTGGGGATGGGGGGAGGCTGGTGCTTGGTTAGTTCAGCTTCCTCTTGAGCCAGAGGCGGGGCAGGTCCTTGCTCTTGGGAGAGGAGAGCTTAAGGTATCCGTCACAACCCTTTTCAGAGCTGGGGCTGCCCTGTGCCCAGTCTGCCGGGTGTGACTTTAGACACGGCAGGCCTCACTTCAGTGTTCTAAAGCCTTCCTGTGTCTGCAGGAAACGGCCACTGTGCATGGTGGATCAGGGAGCCACAGGCTATCTTAGCTTAAGGCCTTTGTTTCCTTGGTAGGTGGAGTTTGAGGATGGCTCACAGCTTGTGGTTAAGAGAGATGACGTGTACACGCTGGATGAAGAGCTTCCCAAGAGAGTCAAGTCTAGACTGGTGAGCGTGTTTTCTGTGTGTCCTTGGTTCCCCTCTGGGAGGGAGGGAAGAAAGCAAGGGCGTGACCCTTTGTTTTTCCTTCGGGAGGTGGGGGCATTGGCCACACAGTGCTCATTTATTTGGTTTGCCTATTCTTCTATAGTCAGTAGCCTCAGACATGCGCTTCAATGAGATTTTCACGGAGAAAGAGGTTAAGCAGGAGAAGAAACGACAACGAGTTATCAACTCAAGGTACCGGGAAGATTACATCGAGCCTGCACTATACCGGGCCATCATGGAGTAGGTGCTTCCAGCAGCTGAGAGAGTCCCAGTCAGCAAAGGTGAAAGCACTCTGGGGTTCCACAGCACAGCAGACACTTGGAACTCTAAAGTGAATTGTAAAATGAAAAGGAATGAACTAACCGACCCCATCATCTTCTCACCCCACCCTCATCGCATTCTGCTGAAGTGCAAGGATGAGCCCTTCTTGGACATGTGGCAGCAGACGATGAGCTCCCAGCTGATGGGCTAAGCACTGGAATGCTATGGCTGCACTGGCCCCAGTCTGCAGTCAACTGTGCTGGCTGGGCTGGTTACCCTGTTCCTGGCCTTGGACTTAGCTTCCTAACGATCACCTGCACCAACTAGGCAGAGGTGCTGGTGCTTGCCCCCCTAACCCCTTTTGTATTTATGGGTGTGGGTGTGTGTGTGTGTGTGTTGGTATGTATGTTTGGTCTGGACCAGCTTCTGTCAGCCCCTGGCCTTTACTTTCTTCCTTGCCTATCCAGGGCAACAAAAATGTGAAATTCTGCCCTCAGCTGAGCTGAGTAAGGGCCCCTGGGGGTTGGCTGGAGATGGCTGTGGCATCTGTCTGTCCCTAGAACTGCCTCAAGGGAGTGGTGGCAAAGCTGCAGTGATGAGATGGAGGTGCTGAGGAGTTAAGCCAGCTGTTTACCCTCTCTTGAAGAAGATAGGGTAACATGGGTGTGTGTTCCCATATCACTTGGGGCACAGAGCGCCTGTGGACAGTATTAGAGGGTGTGGGTGGGGAATAATCCGAAGGGAGATCTAATAATGGAAGCAGGCAGAGCCTGGCGAGTGATTCTGTCAACGGAAAATTGCAATCATGCAGGGCCTGGGAGGGTTAAGATGAACTGGGGCCACTGGAGGCCAGGGGCAGGTTTAGATACGCCCCTTGGTCTAGGGGTGGGAGGGAGCTGATTTCGGGGGTGGGGGCGGGACTGGAGGGCAACGCTGAAGGGGTTAAACAGGTTTTTGCTCCTCATGAATTTGTTTGCCTGGGCCCAGGATTGGAGGGCTTCACACTTATACCCTGTGTATACAAGAATCAGATTTATAATACTCCCCGTTTTTTTGTTACGTATGAACGCTATAAACCAAATTATTTTGAAAACTGGTGCATCACCTTGTCCTTAGCAATAAAATGTGTTGAGCAGAGGATTGGCTGTGTCTGCCCCAAGGAGCCTGATGGCTCAGGGTCAGGCCGGGAGTGTGCCTAGAGTCCACAGGCTCTGGAGCAGGGCCATGCATTTTAAGGAGGCTCTTGAAGGCCCTCCTAAAGAGATGGACTCTTTGTCAAGTTCTGGTCCTTTGGCTGTGTGTGATGGGGACCTGGGGAGAAGAGGCCCTTTGGCCGAGAGCACGTCCTTTTCCTTCTCTTGCCTTAGAGATGGGATGGAAAAGCTAATAGAGGGAGAACCAGACCACTTCCACAACCTGTAGAAAGAACTGAGTTTGATCTCTTCTCATCTCAACCCCACTTATTAACTTCATTGAGCAGGTCTAAGTTCATACCAGTGTCCATTCCATAAAAACTGTAGAACCAGCTTGAAAGAAGGCAGGACATTTTAGGTGCTTGAAGAGCAAGAGATTGCCCCACATCCCCCTTCCCTTGGGTCCTGAAACCTTTCTGATCTGTAGTTGGTGAGACACTTCCCGGGAGGACGACCCAGCCCCTTTGACCAGCAGTGGGTTCCTGAAGTCCAGGTGGACAAGGATAGAGCAGCAGCAGGGCAGGGAGGGACTGGTGAACTGGGCACAGCAGAGCTGTTCCAGCTGGTCGAGTTCTTGGCTCTGGCCAGGAAATTCTTGGGTCAGCTCAGCAACTCAATGCTGCTTTGTGTCCTGGGGCTTGGGAGGTGGCTGCCACCTCTGGTGTCTGTGGGGAAAGGAGGAGCAGCAGGTCTCAAAGATGCTTTTCTGTGCCAATTTCCTCCTGGGGCCAAGGAAAGGGAGGTTGACTCTTTTGTCCAACACCCAAGGATTCTCAGGGGAGAGTGGACAGAGACAGGTGGATTGGCAAGCCCTGGGAACACATATCTTTGGAGGAAAGGAACCTTTCCCCAGACTTGGCAGGGTCTGGGACCTCCCTCCCTCTCGCTGACCTACCGTCCCCAGCCGTGCTGCAGGACAGGCAGGGAAGTCCCTGGTGCAACCCCAGCAGTTCTTTCTCAACAGCTGATTATTTTTCTAGAAACTTTTGGTCAAATGTAATAATCCCCTGGGGAACTTAAAGAGGTGATGAAATTCAAGTCCCACAGAACAGGCCCTCGTGCCTGCAGTCAGGCCCAGGCCTCAGCCACCTCACCGGTCACCCCTCAGAAGCCTTTTTATCAGAACAAACTGCCCACGTTTGGTGAGGTGAAGTCTCAGGGTTGGCAACCAAAGATCGCAACCGGACAGTTCTTCCTGTCCCGTAAATTCCCGCGAGGGGTAATTGTGTTTTAAATTGTGCCCCAGGAGGGTGGGAGAAAGCTGGGATCTCCGGAGCTGCGACGGGTAGACGAAATGGGGCGGATAGGTCCTGGAATAGAAACTGTAAAGTGTGAGGCTGTAAAGTAATAAGGGCAGCCAGCGAGCCCGGTACCCCTTCACTACACAGGATTGGGCAGGGTCGCCCAACCTGAGGTCCACAACCTCGGGTCTCAGTCTGGGTCTAGGGCCGATGCCTGCGTCCCTCGGCGTGGAATGACCGTGGACCCCTGTCCCCCTCACGACCGAGAACAGGCTCTCGAGGGGATTATCTCGGCGGACGGTGAGCCCTGCGGCCGTCAGAAACCCACATCCCGAACGGGCACCCTCTAGGGTGTGAAGCTGCGGGTGGAGGATTCCTCCAGGCGGCGGACGGGCTCCGGGGAACCAGGGGTGAGCGTCGGTGCGGAGGCAGCAGGGCCGGGCGTTGGTCCAGCAGGACTGACTTCCAGCCCCGCCAGCAGCCTCGGTCCGCGCGGGGCGGGGCGGAGGCGAGAGGGATGGGCGGGTTGCAGAACTCGGGGCTCCTGTGATAGCGGGCTCCTCTGGGGTGCGCCCGCCCACTGCTCGCAGCGCAGCCCCGCATTGGTCAGCCCGGTGCCCCGCCTGGCTCCCGCGCGCGGATTGGCCGCGAATTCCCGACCCCCGGCGAGGACGCCGAGGCGGAGAGCCGGATTGGTGGTCCCGCCGTCCCAGGGTCGCGGCCGTGCGCTCCGCCCGCGGCTGCGTCCCCACTATGGCGGCGCCCAGGCGGCCCACCGCGTCGTGGGCGCCCGCCGGGGTCCCCCGCGGCTGCCGCCCCCGCCTAAGCTGTCGCCCCCACCTTCCCGCCCGCTTCGTCCCGGGCGCCGCCTCCCCCCTGCCTCCCTTCCCGCTGCGGTAAGGACCGGTCCTGCGCGCGTCGGGGCGGGTAGTCTTCGGAGTAACGGTCGCCGCCACCCTTTCCCTCCCCTCCCCCGCTACCCGAGGTTACGGGTCGCCGGGGCGCAGAGCCCGAGCGCGCTGGTGCTGGGGGAAGGAAGGGTCGCCCGCGGCCCAGCCGTCTCCAAATAATGAAGTCCGGCTCAAACTGGGGGCTCGGGGCGGGAGTTCGGTCCCACGGAGACCTCGCCTCGGTAGGGGCTGCCAGGCCTCTGGGAAGAGGACGGCTGGACTCGGACCGAGCGGTCTAGGTCACCTGTGCGCGAGACCCCGCAGCGCTGCGCACCTTGGTGCAGAGGGAGGGACATGGTCAGGCGGGCCTTCTCTGTGAGAAGAGCAAGGAAAAGTGGAAAGCCTGAGTGGGATCTGCAGCGTACGGGTAGCGGTTTGTCATTGCTTATTGCTCTACCAGCTGCCAAACGTTCCGGGAACCCGGGTCAACTTTACTGACAAAGTACGCCTCTTGCTTCTTTTCCCCTGGCACTTCTCCCCATTGTTTACTCTCTGATTTTGTTTGCAGGAGGAAATATCTTAGTGATAAGAGCAGGTTTGATTAAGATAGTGTCCCACGAATATTTTTGAATTCCTTTTTGTAAGCGTGCTCTTTTTATAATTCCTTAAGGACTTGTCTTATGTTTGTGTTTCCCGCCCAGAGGAAGGAAAGAAACTGAACTGAATCACTGTAATTAATTGAGAGAGGAACCAATGAAGGCAGCTGCTATTTTGTAACAAACAGCAATTTACAAACTTTTCTGTCGATACACTTTGAAAGGTCTATACTATAGCTAGTTGAACAGGAAGGTAGGTTAAAAAGCACTTACTGGGTTCCTGAAAGTAAATAAACCTCATGGAAAATTAGGTTATTCCCAAGTCAGAATCACCTTGGAGTGCTGATCATTAAGGCGTTAGGTATATCTTCAAGTCAAAAAGATTCAAAGGAACCTGGCACAAAAATTTATGATCGAAATGGTGTATTCAATCTCTTAAGGCAATAGCAGTTCCTAAGAGTAAAGATTCTTAAGGATATTTTGAAACATTAAGTGATGAAATCTCCCTGTTTCACATGTCTAATCATGATTTAATAAAAATAAATTATCAATGAAAAAAGATGTGCATATTCTTAGAGACTAAGTTATTTTGGATTATCAATAAAGTATCTATTGTGTACATGTTGTGTGCAAGGCAATGTAACTGTGGGGATCTCACAACCTGTATTGTATGAGACTTGTTCTGATGATAAAGGGCACACAGGAAAATGATCATTAATAATATGGTCTTTAGAATTCCAGGATAGTAGGCACTATGAAAATTCTGGAAAAGGAGAAATCCGTATGTTTGAGGAAGGTTTTACATGAGAACTGAGGCTTGAGTTGAGCCGTAAACTCAGCTAGGTAGGCATGAGTGATGATGAGAAAGGAGAATTGAGGAAATGAGAAAGTGAGGATGGGAAAGGTGGCAGAGGAGAACCCAAAACACTCTGGGGTGGTTCCAGGAGGTTCTTATTGGAAAAAGTGGGAGATAAGGTTAATGGTATCAAATCAGGGAGTACTTTTGTCCTGGGTAAAGCACAGGGTAAACAAGAAGTAGTTCTTCGAATGAAACTGGAGCTTGCTATCAGGAAAACAGATGGTAGCACTTTATTTGCCCTTGTTACTTTTCTGAGTAACCTCAGCTATTTAGAATAATGGTCCTCTCAGCTACCTAGGATCTGCACCTCAGGACTGATTCTTGCCTTCCCTTTATTTCCCCCTTGTGTTAAGTTGGTTGTCAGTTTTTATTGCTACAGCCTCCACACTGTTTTTAGTATTTGCTTCTTTTGGTTCCTACCATCATTTTACTGATTTGGGGCCATTGATACCTTTCCCTCTTATTACTGCAGAAACTCTCTAACTTCCCCCCTGCCTCCTTTCATCTACCCTGTGTACTATCATCATTTCTAGGTAATTCATTTCCCCAGCCTAGACTTTTATTTTTTATTTATTTTCCCCCATCTTTATCAAGATTTAATTGACACATGTAACACTGTAATTTTAAAACACACAGCATTTTGATTTGATACAGATATGTGTTATAAAATTATTATAATAAAATTAGTTAACATCATATAATTACCTTTTGTGGAAAGATCATTGGAATTATACCTTCTTATACATTTTCTTTCTTATCTATTGTCTTTCTTTTTTAGAGTATAATTGCCTTTCAGTGTTGTGTTAGTTCTTGCTATATACCAAAGTGAACCAGCTATATGCATACATATATCCCCTCCTCCTTGAACCGACCTTCTACCCACCTCCAGCCTAGGCTTTTAATGGCTTCCTGCCTTCTCTTGAATTAAGCACAGCCCACCCTGGTCTGGGCAGTATGGGTAAACTCATTTCTTGCTCTTCCCTTTGATTTTACAATATTTTCCAAGTCTGGAACTGTTTGCTCTTTGTTGTCTGTGCTCACTGTCTTTGCTCTTGTTGCTTTTTCTGTCCTAAATGACTCCTTGGAATCTCTTAATTGTTGGTTCTTACCCATTTGTCGGGGCCATTTGATGGGAACTCTCTTTGTGAAACTTGTGTGCTTTTCTCGCCATTGGCATGGAGCTCAGTTCAGTTCAGCTTAGTCGCTCAGTCGTGTCCGACTCTTTGCGACCCCACGGACAGCAGCACGCCAGGCCTCCCTGTCCCTCACCAGCTCCCAGAGCTTACTCAGACTCGTGTCCGTTGAGTCAGTGATGCCATCCAGCCATCTCGTTCTCTGTCGTCCCCTTCTCCTCCCACCTTCAATCTTTCCCAGCATCAGGGTCTTTTCAAATGAGTCAGCTCTTCCCATCAGGTGACCCAGGTATTGGAGTTTCAGCTTCAACATCTGTCCTTCCAATGAACACCCAGGACTGATCTCCTTCAGGATGGACTGGTTGGATCTCCTTGCAGTCCAAGGGACTCTCAAGAGTCTCCTCCAACACCACAGTTCAAAAGCATCAGTTCTTCAGCACTCAGCTTTCTTTATGGTCCAACTCTCACATCCATACATGACTACTGGAAAAACCATAGACTTGACTAGATGGACCTTTGTTGGCAAAGTAATGTCTCTGCTTTTTAATATGCTGTCTAGGTTGGTCATAACTTCTTTTCCAAGGAGTAAGCATCTTTTAATTTTATGGCTGGCAAACCACTTCAGTATTCTTGGCTTGAGAACCCAATGAACAGTATGAAAAGGCATGGGACTAGTTCCTCCTTTAAACAGTTATAACACTAGAATTTGCCTTCTTGCCCCAACTTCCAACATAAGACTGAAACTTTTTCAAGACATGAATTATCTTCATCTTCTAGCACAGTGTTTTGTACATAGTAGGTACTTGGTAAATATATTTTAAATTGAACATAGCTTTGAACCAAGACAAGTGCAAAGAAAATTCTTTGTGCAAGCAAAATGTTGATCATAAAATCTGTAAATAAAGTTACTTATATGAGAATTCTTTACTGAGAAAGCTGGTGTATTGGTCTGGATAGCTTGGATTAGGCTTCATTAACAGAAACCCTTAAGACTTCAGTGGCTTAACAGAACAAAAGTTGGCTTCTCATTTGTGCCACATGTCCAGCAGGATTACACGGGTGACTCTGCCCCTGTCAGTTACTCAGGGATCCATGCTGATGGAAACTCATCTTAATGTGGTTTTTCATGACCATTTTGATTGAGTGGAAGATGGTGATCAAGGGACACTGGATTTTAAATATCTGACCTGAAGTGGCATCTGTCACTTTCATTTCCATATCATTGGCTAAAGCAAATCACATGGCCATGCCTAATTTAAAAGAATGGCCGGGAATTGCAGTCTTAAGCATGTGCCTGGAAAGCAAAGAGCCCGAAGTGACTGCTGGACAGCACTAAAGACTGCTACATCTTCTATGAGCATCACGGCCCAGCCTGTGGAAGATTAGAGGTAGTGAAATCAGATGGGCTACTAGAAGAAACATATGACAGTAGCAAGAAATAATAGCTCTAACGAGGCATGGGATGAGAGTGGACAGGGAAGTCAGAGCTCCACTACAAGCACTGTAACACTTGTGATGTAAGAGGCTGAGGCTGTAGTGAAAGTCGTTCAGTTGTGTCTGACTCTTTGCAATCCCATGGACTGTAGCTTGCTAGGCTCCTCTGTCCATGGAATTCTCCAGGCCAGAATACTGGAGTGGGTAGCCGTTCCCTTCTCCAGGAGATCTTTCCAACCCAGGGATCAAACCCAGGTCTCCCACATTGCAGGTGGATTCTTTACCATCTGAGACAGTAGTCTGATTTTCCAGTTATTCCTTATGGCATTACTATTTTACGGCACCCTCAGAGATGAATTCAGGAATGGCCCTGAAACATCCATAAAGAATTAAGTTTTATTCAAGATACACAATTTAAGAAGCCAGAAAGTGTATAATAAGGTACATTTTTACTTGAATGGTTAAAAAGATCCTAGTTCAACCTTACTGGTTTAATTGGGTTTAACTAAAGCTATCAAGGCCTTCCCTGGTGGCTCAGAGGTTAAAGCATCTGCCTGCAATGCGGGAGACCTGGGTTCGATCCCTGGGTCAGGAAGATCCCCTGGAGAAGGTAAATGGCAACCCACTCCAGTATTCTTGCCTGGAGAATCCCATGGACAGAGAAGCCTGGTGGGCTACAGTCCATGGGGTTGCAGAGTCGGACATGACTGAGCGACTTCACTTCAAAGCTGTCAAACTTTAGTATTTGGGGAGATTTCACTTTTGGGCTTCCCTGGTGGCTCAGATGGTAAAGAATCTGCCAAAGTAGGGAATGGCAACCAACTCCAGTGTTCTTGCCTGGAGAATTCCAAAAGTGAAAACAGGATTGAAATCTTGCTTCTGCCATTGATTGTCTAACATTGGGCCCATGTCTTGATTCTGGAGTCCGAATTTCCTCATCAGTGAAATGCATAGGGTGGTTATGAGTTCATTTTCTATAAAGTGCTTTTCCCAGTACCTCGTTCAAAATAGGCACTCATGGTCATGATATTCATTGGCAGCAGCTGCAGGATTTGAAGAAACTGAGAAATCAGGTAAGGAAATTCCAGGATTCCCCCAGATTTTCCTACCTGTTTCTACTTGGCATCCTGCCACACTCTTTCTCATCTTTCTTATTTTCACACGTATCCTGTTTTATTTTTAAGTTGGTCGTATATGTGTGTCTGTTTCTTCTACTGTACTAGGTCCTTTAGTCATCCCACAAGTAGTTATTGAACATGAGCTCTCTCCTAGCCTTGGTGCTCGGTCATGGCATTGCAGATACAAAAGGCATACCCCGGGCCTGAAAGAGCCGG